GGCTCCGGATAAAAGAGCGAGGTATTCTGGGAATATGCTCATCAGCTCTTCCTATAGCTCAAGAGCACGTCAGCGGACTGGACAGCTGGTGCCCTCCAGATCCGCTGTATCACTGTTCAGGCATAGGTGAAGAAGTACTGCGGGAAATTTTATCAGATTAAGGCTCCAAAACAAAGTGGAAAGGCCTTGGAAGACAAAATTTTCGACACTGAGTGCTTATATTCTGGGCAGAACGGCGGAAAGCATTGTTTGTTTAATCAGTGCTAACACATCCTGCGCCACGCCAAAAAGTGGAAAAAGAGCGACTCCTCGCGTTTGAAAAGAACAAAAATAAGAGGTAATAGTCTCTGCGGCGGAAGTACTTCTCGGGATAAGTGGGTCGCTGAGAAATATAGTACTTAAAGAGTCTTTGATGCCCCTTGAGGCGATTCCTGTCAATGTGGAAGCGACCAAAGGATCGAATCTCCGTGTGTGGAGAAGTGTTGGTCGCTTCCACATTATAAGGCGACCCCGACTCTCCCCTAGCTCCCAGAAAACCGACTTACGGAGAGGGTACTCCGATTCCGCTTTCACTTGTTTCCTCCTCACCTTGTGTGCCCGTCCGTAGGGAAGGTTGCACTCTCCTATGTGGAATTGACTCGATGCCGAAAATGACCGTTTAGAGATTGGTGTCGATCGGGTGGAAATTCCTTACCCTATCGCGTGTTCTTGGTTGGCGTTCTCCTAGAGTCGCCGCGATCAGCCTTGATCGCCTTGTGCCAAAAATGAGGCACTTGAGTCGCGAGCCTTCTGACCACTTGAGCCATCTCGCGATCTTGTACTTCAACCAGTAAGGTTGCCTGCTTCCGATCGCAGTTGAGGTGGGTGAAGAGTCCTTGCAATCCTGACCAAATAGCTTCAGGATTGATCTTCCTGCCCTTGGTGCCGAAGTTCTCTGACGTTGGAAGGCCAAAATATCTAACCCGAAAGAAGAACGACACGTTTGTGTTTAGTAGCAAGTTGAACTCTCTTTAATGTTAACCAACCAAAACTCAGAAATATAACCATGCCTACTCCGTGTGTCCGTTTTGACCGCCACGTGTCTTCTCCATGCCGAATGGAATCGCAATCCTTTAAATCACGTGGCCCACGCTAGATCGCGGGATCGCAGGTCCCCCGATCGCGGTCCCTTGATCATGGTCCTCCGATCGCAGTCCTCTGATCGCGGTTTCTTGATATTTTTATAGTCCGGGACCGTGTGGACTGGATAGGGTTGAGCCCGTTAGGTCATCTTAACGGTAATATTCAAAAATCTGGCTATCATTGCACGAGTGATTCAGCCAATACCACCTCGTACTTAGCTGAATCGCCCAGGCTTTTGGACCCGATCGAGATCGGCTTTACCACACGTGCTTTCTGGGCTTAAGGCACTCAAGAACACGACAGCAGCTGCCCTATTCTACATTTGGGAACACGCCCTGGTCACTCGCTGAGCAATCAGGAGCATGTCGTCGCCACTGTCCAGAAGTATGCGAATCAATCCTTTATTGTATTCAATTGTCGAGAACAGTGAAAAGTGGGGGAGGAGAGAATATTAATAAGGGTACATTGAGAATCGGGAAGTCTAAAGGCTCCTTGTACTTGAAAGTTGAAGGCTTAGACCGGTGAAGAGGGGATTACAGGAAAATAGCACTTTACTGCTGTGCGCCAGCCCCCGCGACACCTGTTCTAATTTGGAAACGAGACTTTTTAACCTAAAATATATTATAGGTAAATAACGACTGCTGGAGATGCCCTAACGAGTCGGCCTAGCCGATATTACATGGTCAGGTACCTGCCCGTTTAACGTGGCCTCATTATACATAAAACCTTCCAGCCGTGCATTGATCACTTGCTGGCCTTGAACCACAATATGGTCAATTTGTTCAACACCATTTAACGCCCTAAGCTGTCAAGTGCGAGGCGTTGAGCCTGATAGAGATGAGGTAGGCTTCCCATCTCAATTGAGGATAAGTCGATTTTCGACTGCGGTGTAGGAATGATCACAAGTCCCACCCACTGTTGTAGTGAGACAAAGCTTCTAGTCAGCGAAAGACTTACGACTCTAGAAGTCCCTTACTTTATAAAAACTAAGTTCCTATAAATTAAAAGAGTCTCTATCTTTGTTAGAGCTAACCAACATTGACGGATAGAGTCAGGCCCGTAGAGCTTTTAGTCCTGGTTCAAGGTACTAATAACAAATTTAAGAATCGTACGCACAATGTGCTCTAGAGTATACGCCGCAAGCTGACTCTTACTCTTACAATATACTTACATCTTTATAAGACACGTTTCACTCAAAGATCACAAGGGGAATCGAGCTTAAATTTCTTAGTTTTATCTGTAATAGACTCATTCAACTACCCAATACTGAGATTAGACTAATTCACATAGTGATCTTTTGCACATTAGATATTGACGGATGGTACATCAATCTGTCAGTAAATGGATGACGAAAGTTGTCAACCACATCAACTATCACAGATAAAGCTTAGAATTTGATCTAACGTATACAAGGTATGCCCCTTTAGGGCAAAAACGGTTAAGTGTTCCCGTTTTAACGTCTTTCTGGATCTCTCCCTTGATCAGGACCACCCCATAAGGTTCCGAACACGGCACTTCATCAATGTACAAACGACTTGAATCCATCCTTCACATTCAAGTGTAAATAGACGATCGTGCAACAAAGTACACACGTTTCATGCTGCTAGCCTTCTAGTTATTCTTGAGTACTACATGATTTTGACTTCATGAATCACCAGTTGTACACAGCGTTGCATGGGCATTGCAGATTCATTTCTTTGAACTCACCTCCCCTGCTCTTACCCACCCTTTATTGCCGATAAATTGTCGCATTACAGCCTTCCGGTAGTGTCACCTCGTCAAGCGCGCGAAAAGCTTCGTCGATAGAAATAAATAGCTCTGCTGTGATTTGAAATATGTCTGTTATGTTGCTTTCAGACTAGGGGCCAGAGTTACGATAGAGTAGGTGATTTGAGATAATCTAGGAATAATTTCGAAAACGTGCAATAAAACAAGGTAGCCCCTAGTGAGCCTTCAGTTTTCGATAATGAGCCTTCACCCTACAAACAAAACTAGTACATGGATTTGACCCCTTTCAATTTGTCATATTGTTTTGCTGCAAATTTGTGAATGACGTCCATGATACTCATATCATTTACTACATCGTACCTCTGACCCCCTTCTTGGATCAACATGGAATGATTTAACCAGATCACAGGAGACCTGTTTTTTTTGCTGAAGGAGGTTGTCATGCGCTTGACGAGCTGACGACGTGAAGGTTATTTTACAACAATAAATTGGCAACATAGGGTAGGAAACAGCAAGGGCAATGAAATTAGAGTAGTAATTTGCAATACAGATAAACCTGGCCAATCTGATCCCTGATGATCATGATATGTTGCTATACATGATAAGGATTCGATCCACCGATTCCGTTCCTAAATAAATGTATAGGGTAAAGTTGATAATTGGCAAATTTGTTAGTTGATGAATAATCTCGTCCAAACTTGATTTTCTTGTTCCAGATTTTGGGTCACTGGCGTGGGCACGAGTTGTTACACAGAACTGATCTAGGATCAAAATTATGTCTTTGTGTAGCTCAAAATGTGTAATATTGCAAACGGATTACAATGTAAAAAAGTTGGCTGCTTTTAACAACATGGAACCATGAGCGTACTATCAAGATCGCTTAATAATCGTCTTGGCGCTACAGTTACATGGTTGGCGCCGCAGAAAAGTAACCACGAATCAGCGTCTTTGTAAGTTACTTTTACTTTTCTACTCTCAGCTCCTCGTGCAATATCTGCCGTAATGTACGCATCCCTCCCATGACAAGTCTCTCTTGATCTGGATGGTCACCGAGCTTTAAAATATGGCTCGGACTGCGTCAACCTTGCCCTCGGCGCTAATCTCTGTCTGCGTGTTTGTTACACCTTCTCTTGTCAACTCCAATTCTTTTAAGTCCCTGCTCTCTTGGGCCGTGAGCAAAATCCCGCGTCCGCTTATTCGCTGAGCAGGTCTATGACCGTTAGCGCTTCCATCTCCGTGTCGACCTCGGCACTGCGCACAACATATGAATTCGTTCAGGTCCATCGGGTCGAGGATGCATACCTGCACATTTGTGCTAGCAGGCTGGTGTTTAGGTGGTCATCAGCCTTACTGCGCGATCTTCGAGTGGTCGTACGTCCGAGCAAGAGCCCTGTGTGCCGAAAGCAGCTCAACTTAGCATCGCTTGGAATGTCACGCCAGCAGGATTTTACCCACTTTATCGCCGTGAGCTGGTTTAGAGTATAGATACTGGTCTGTAATCCTTTTCCTCCATATCCATAGCGTGCTCGAGCAGGCGATGTCTGTATCGACGCTTGCATGAGGCTATGAAACCGGCGTCCATGGGCCGCAGCTTTGCGGTCGTATTTGGAGGAAGAAACACTACTTCCACGCTTGTTAGCTCCATAACATGAGCAGTATGTGCCGATGCATTGTCGAGAAGGAGAACGATGTTTCGTTTTTGGGCGTGCATGTCGCTGTCAAGATCATGCTGTTAATCTCGAAATTGGACACCGGTCACACGTTCCATGCCTTGAGGTTGCTGCGATAGTTAAACATAAATTAACCACCTGTCTTGTTCTGGAAAAAGCGCGGCTTTTCCTCGTGACCAATGCTGAGGGGCTCGCTCTTGTCCGAGCCATCAGCTTTGCACATCAGAGCGACTGTCACACGATTCTTGCTCTTCTTCGATCCTTCCACTTGTCAATGAGCGATAGTCTTATCGGGCGCAACGCAGTAAAATAGTCCTGTTTCGTCCATGTTGTAAATGTCAGCAAGCGGGGCTCCTTTCAAACGTTCCCGGATGACATCGCGCTGCGCGTGTATCTTCTCCAAGTTAACGGAGCCGCTCTCACCGTGGTCGATAAGCTACTCAAATTCGTGACATGCCTGGAAAGATTGAAGCCTTCCATTCAAAACAATAGCAGATGCTCTTCTTGAACACCGCTCAATGTGGCAAATCGACTCGCTCTCTCATTAATCAGATCACCGGACAGCATCACGCGCTTGGCTTGACACTGTAGCACCCAATTTGCAAGGGCTCCATCGACTGCAGGAAATACCAGTAATCGGTTCCGCTTACACTTGAGATCGAGGTCCACCACGCGCAGATACTTCTGAGAATCACGCAGAATGCCGGAGATCGTCCTTTGGAATGGCGCCTTGAAGAGACCGAACCAGCACTTCGCCTTATCTGCCAGTTGCGATTGTATAAGCGTGGTGTTTGCGTCATGCCACTGGCAGATCTTCTTCTTCTGCCCATACGTCAGGTTACCAGCCTTTTCGGGTCGCGACGGCATCGTTGTTTAAAAGGTGAATTAGCAAAGTGAAAACTGATTAATTCATTTGTGCATTATTTTTCTAGTGTAAGTGCTTTTGCTTAGCTTGCCACTCATTTTGTTCTGCTTATGGTTGAAGCAGCAAATTCTTTACTATCTCTCTGATGGTGTTGTCATATCAAAAATAGGCGACGTCACTACTGGCAGGCAGTGCTGGTGAGCCCTATACACCAGATCCTGAAGGCTTAACTTAGTATTTTTGCTCGTACCGGTTCTCGAACCGGTGACCTTTCGGATGCTGCTGCCACACCAGCCAAGTTAGCCTACAAGCGTTCACGAAATGTCACACACAACTCTAGTATAAGTTGTGTACACAATTGTCACACACACTCACACAAACTAAAACCCAGGCATACAGATCTACACTCTAATGCATATGCACAACGTATCACCAACGATTTGTTGCGCAAAAAGTCGATTGACGCGTCGCTTGACTTAAAATTGTACTAAAATTAAAAGCTGAACACGGAATCCGGGCTCTTATACTGTTTTTAAGGGCTGCTAATTACTGGAAGGTGTTTGCACCTATGATTTGATGCTTTTGCTATATATGGTACACTTGCGGTCCACGGGTCATTTCAAATATGGCAGGTTTATCTGTACTCATGCAAAGCTCTCCACAACATGCGATTCGTGTAGACGGTTATTTTATGGACTCAAGCTCAGGTAAAAAGTGAGCAGCATATAACATGTGGATTGTGTTTTCACAATCGTCTATTACTTGCCGATGTGAAGGCTGATCTGAAGTTGTTGTGCCATAATCGAAGTGCCGTCGTCGGGGCTTTTTGGGGTGGTCCTTTTTTAAGATACTAAGAGAGATGTGCTGTGGGGCGAAATTGCAACCACCTTAGACTAAGCCGGTGTGAGCCTTTATTTCAAGTTCTTTCAGTACTTCGCTGCAAGAAGTGTGGATAGGCTTTGCTATGTCACCATATCGCTGTAGTGGCGGTAGCAAGCGCAGCCAATCAATCTAATGTACGCGACTCTAAGTAGCGTGTCAAGAAGAAGCGCTTTATCAGCATTATGTCGTTTATTCCAGCCTTCCGCGCGTCCCAACGACTGTGTGTGCAGTCGCCGAAGCGAGGACAAGGTGTGGGGACATCAGACATCCATACTTTCCCACTGATCTACTGCTGGCACATTTTGCGGCTGCGCCAGCAGCATACACAGGACAACGTCTTACCTGCTTCGGCTATTGCTAAGAAGAATACCTACCGAAAGAGCTCATTGTCGAAAAGGAACTGCGGATATGACTAGCCCAGTCTTGACTGTTAAAATTTAGATACTAGAAGCCTAAAAGTAAGATTTGGGAGCCAGCAAGCTCTGGAGCTCTCCCTATGATAAAAGGGATCCAGTTCGAAGAACTGGATCAAGTAGCAAAACACTATACAACGGTAGACACAAAAGAATGAGTACAATGCTTTTTTGTCCTACTGTAACCCAGTATAGTATGGTAGGGCAACGCGATCGGACAGTTCTCATGAGCGTCCAGCATTTGCTTATGTGATCATTTTCATCTCTGATCAATTTTAAGCCCATTACGTGCGTGTGGCACAATAGTGCTGTATTCGAAGAGTGACACTTATTGTAGCTGAGCTACTTGGCGCTCCTTAACAGGAAGAGTCTTAAACTTAAAGAGTCTATTAGTCATAACAAACTAACAACGACGGGCAGTCGTTTAAGCGTACAAGCTTAACAATCCCGGTTCTGAAGGGGTTACGATTCACATAATCACACACTAACTAGCCACTACTAGTTAAACAAAAGTAAACGCCTTGACAAGGCTAATGCTGTTAACAGCACACTACGCCTTTAAAATGTTTATAAAATTAATAAATATCTTTATTTAAAAATAATAATAAAATTACAACATTTAATGAAATAATTCATTAATTTTATAATGAACATGAAATAAAATTAATTTAAATAATGGCTGATTAATTAGATATATGCACGCAAATGATCCTAATTTTTTTTATTGTAGTCTATGTCCAACGATTTAAAACGGAAACTGAACTCTATCTATTCTCTAACAACGGTAATAAAACCATAAAACCTTGTATGACTGACTTCTACATTGCGATCCTATGACAGAAGTCTTATCCCTTATCTCGAACCGATAAGGTGCGGTGCTACCGTAAGTACATGGTTCCAATACTGTAACACTCAGATCCACCTATCTTTACTTGGTGTGGACACAGAACATAACCGGTTCAATAACCGCCGTGTAACCCCGTTACACCCATCATGCTTATTGATCCATGAGGGGGAACAGGATAGATCGTATTTCGTACGAGTAAGATACACCTGACCGCGTTATTTACAGACCGACACACAAACACAGATAGATAAGTACGATTCAAAAGCTCGGTATATAACCTTGTGCACACTCACTATAGTGAAATCTCCGTAATTTATTATTCTCTGCGTTAGTAATCTCTCTTAATTAATGCAAGAGTCGAGTCTAATGTTGGGCACTGGTTTAATAGCATAAAACTCCCTAATTTTTTTACTAATAAAGCCAGAGAAATTTTCCGACAGACAGATATAAAACTTCATTATGTTTTTATCGAATACTAATTAAGTGCAAGATTCTGAAATTATGAAAGAAATAATGTGTATGTTAAACGACAAATGTTAAACCACTAATTTATAAAAAACCAAAAAAGGGCAGAAGGATTTATATATTAGTATAGTAGCATTTTGGTGATCAAATCAGATTGGACTACTACAAAAATGTAGAGTTTGTTGCTATAAGGATTTTTTGCTAGAGATTTCCCATTCAATCCTGTATCTTCTGAATCATCCCTGAGCACTCCTTTTTGGCTTTGCATCTGCGTGCAAAGGGAGAACGAGTGCGCGGTCGATGTGGTTTTCTAGACTGTATTGTGTGGTTTAGATTCTCACAAAATCTACTCTTGATCTCACTACACACTGCGTAAAGATGCCCTTCACTATCTCAGGAGTTCTGCAAGCTGCACGCTGTCTCCGCTGTCTCTCTCCCGCACAGCTTCTTCATCCTTCCCGTCAGGTGCCGTGCCTCGCCTTCCAACACTCCTCCCGCGGCACCGCACTAGCCGCAAACTCATCATCTCACGTAGGTCGGCGACTCTTAGCGCCGGGACACTTTATGTCAATAGATCCGCGATCATCTTGTTGGTCGCGATGTACTCGGGCTTCATGATGACCTTGGAGCTCGTGTCAAGTACGGAATCCATTTTCACGTCGACTTGCTTCTGTGCGCTCGACGTGGCTTCGTGGTCGATCTCCTTTATAGCAGCTTGGTTGTCCTCCATCATCTGTATCGGCAACTTCACACTCAGGTTTATCTCACTCAGTAGATCCTTTACGCCTAGAATCTAATTCGCACCAACAGCTGCTGACACGAACTCGGCTTCCGCAGTTAGAAGCGCTACTGAGGACTGTTTCTTGACTTGCCATCCGATGGGCATCCCGTCGACGAGCAGCATCGCACCGCTGATCGACTTTCGCGCGGCCTTGTCGGACGCTTAATCCGCGACGATGTAGCTAGTGAGTTTCACTTCATTGGCACTCGACGCGCCGCCGATGTGCAGCTTCAGTACAGCCGTGCCAGCGAGGTACCTCAGCACTCGACGGGAGAGCTTCACGTCGTGGTCGCTGGGCGTGTGGCTGCGGCGTGTCGCGCGGTGAATCGCGTACGCGATGTCGGGTCGACTGCATCGTGCGACCCACAGCAAGCTCCCGACAAGGCTTTGAAAACTCTTGATCGTCGGTCGTTCTGCAGTGCCGGCTCCCCGCGCAGGAAGCGGCTACGCGTCGGTGCTCTCTGACTCGATCGATGCTTCGTCACTTACTGGTGAGCGTACTGCGTTTGCCTTCTCCAGACGCTTCTTGTGAAGCAGTTCGGTGATCATTTACTCTTGGTCGACGTTGTACCCGTGCAAGTCGTCGTACCCGATGCGCATGCCCAGAAAGTTCTTGACGCTCCCGAGGCACTTGAGCTCCAGGATCTGAATCGCCGCGCCAAACGCGTCGAGCAGCTCGTCGCTCGTCGCGGTTGCAAGCAGGTCGTCGACATACACTCTTACTACTGTCGTTCCTTCGGCTGTTGTCTTCACGTATACGCATGCTTCCGTGACTGACTGTGAGAAAACGGCGTCATTCAGCGTTTGGTCGAGTAACTGGTTCCACAGTCGGCCGGCCTGCTTGAGCCCGTAAAGGCTTTTAATGAGCCGCAGGCACGTCTCGCCGGCGTTCGCCACGTTGAACTTCCGCAGCTGATCTTCATTCCTTACAGAACGCGCTAGTAAATCTCGATATCCTCCTCCTTGTAGGTCTTCAGGTAGGCGCTCGGGACGTCAAAGTGTCGCGCGCGCACATTCCAGAGCCGGGCAACCGCGAGAATGATCTTGCCGCTAGTCATGCCCAAGACAGCTGCAAATTTCAGGTTGTAGTCTCGTCCAAGCGCTTATCGTCGCCTCCTGCTTCAAGTCTTGCCTTGTAGCGTTCGATGGACCCGCTGCCGTTCATCTTCTTTGTGAAAAAAACCGCTTGTTGCGGAGCACGTGCATGTGCTTCTCGCGTTTGATCACCTGCCATGTGTTATTTTTTTACAGCGAGGCGATCTCGTCGTCCATCGCCTGGGCTTAGAGGTGCGCGTCTGGAAGTGTGCGCGACGCCTTGTACGTCTTCGGGTCGGGCAAGTTTGTGTACTGCTCCTCCCCCGCCCGTAATGCGGACATTTAAACCGATTGAAACAGCGTTGCTGCGGTAACTGGCTCGCGCGGTCCGCGTCGCGCTGGACCTTTTGCATCGTCGTCTGCCTTCTGCTTTGCCGACTTCGTTCTCACACGTCCAGACCTGCGCGGAAGCCTTTTTCTATCGTCATCATCCGCATCTGATACTTTTCCTCTGCATCTGTGTGGTCCGAGGCGTTTGCTTGTCTGTTCTTTTTAGACTTCGACTTTGTCTCCTTGTCGCGTTCCGCGCGCGTTTGTTTCTGCTTCGGAGCTGTCGTTGTCGGATTCGACGCGGTTCGTGCGACAGCTCGTTTGCCTGAGCGCTCGCCCTTTGACTCCTCCCGTCGTCTACTTTCTTCTCGTTTACCTGCTAGTTGCTCGAGCTCGTCGTAAGCTTCTGACTCGAGGGCCTGCTGCAGCTGCTTGTTGGCGTCACTGGTCAGGGTTTCGCTTTGGTACACGTGTCGAGTAGTCACCACGACCTGCTTTCCGGGAATCAGTACCTTGTACCCCTTGGTTTCTTCGTTTTTTCCCGAAAAGGATACCTGGAGCTCCACGCTTTTTCAGAGATGCGTTCAGTGGGTTCTGGTACACTTTGCAAGGCGAGCCGAACAACACCACGTCCACAACACTCACTGGCTTCTTTGTAAGAAGCTCCAGAGGCGATTTGCGGCCTGGATTGGCGCGAGTCGGCATCTTGTTCAACACGTACGCCGCGTATTCCGTGGCGTATCCCCAGTAGCTAAGCGGAAGGCCACAACCGAAGAGCATGCACCGAACCAAATTCATGACGGTCCGGTGCATTCTATCGGCATTTCCGTTCGATGCCGACGTGTTGCGCTCAGTGATTTGTCTGCCGATGCCTGTCTGCTGACAGAAGCGATAGAGGTTGCGGTTGTTGCCTCCTCCATCCGTCCGCAACATGTAAACTCGCACGTTAAATTGTCTTTTTTAAAAAAACCATAAAGTGCTGGAACTTTTGTGCGGCTTCGTCCTTGGAATTTGCGACGAATACACGCATGTAGTTGGATTTGTGGTCGATAAATTAATCAAGTATCGTTTTTTCGCTTGTCCATGGGCGTGATGGGGCCTTTAAGGTCACTGCAAATGACCCGACCGACCACGTCAATCGGCGCATTAAGACCGCTATCCTTCTTAGGCTGTGACGACTTGGACTGTTCGCCCTCGGATCATGTAAAGTAATTCTCCCTCACTTTGTCTGTGAGCTCGAGTCCGTTCGCCGGATTCGCGACGAGTCACTCAATGTCTTCGTAATTCAGGTGGCCAAAGCGCCTGTGGAAGCTCAGCAAGCTCCCTGTCTGCACTGTTGCCTCTCGGGGCTGCGACTCGCCGATCGCGTACATGACCACGTCCTTCAACCCGCTTGCTCGTTGCTTCACGTGCCCACGGTCGACGACAAGGACAATCTGTTTGATCTGGACGTAAATCACGACGTCGTCGTTGATCATCACTGCGTGCTTGTTGTTCTTATCGGCGAGGCAGCAGCCCTGTAGCATGAGTGTGCCGAGGAAGATGAGGTTAATGGACAGCTTCGGCGCGTAGTTGACGTTGCGCAGCTCGATCCAGTACGTCTCGCCGTCCACCTTCACGCGCAATCGCGCTTTGCCGCTTCGCGTCACCCGCAGCGTACTTTTGTCAGGCATCGTCACGCCAGTGGGGTCTTTGCACTCCATCCAATCATACAGCATGCTGCTGTGTTTGACGAGGTGGGTGCTGGCGCCGGAGTCGACTATCCAGTCCTCCTCCGTTAGGAAACCTGCTACGAGTGAAGCAAGCGCCCATCGAGGAGTCTCTTCTTCGTCCTCTATCTTTGGACGACTGGGACACGGGCGCGCGATGTGCCCGACTGTGCTACAGATGTTGTACACCCTGGTTTCCGTGCGTGCGGTGGCGGTCGCTGCTGCTAATGCAGCTTTAACTGGCCGAGGCGCCCGTTTCTCATTGTCCTCATAAGTTTGCGCCTACTGTGTGATTTCAAGCGCGTAAATCACAAAGTCGGTGCGCTTTAGGTAGTACTGGCTTGCGAGGACAGGTCGCAGCTCTGGGCTGGCATGCATAACGAGACTTTCCGGTACCAATGACGCCGACACACCCGTGGCGTTTCTCACCGCCATGAGGTAGAGGTAGTGTGCTGGCCAGGTGTCGCTGATGCTTTTGCGCCTGTTACAGAACTCGGACACTTGTGCTCTAGTCAAGCTGCGCGAGAAGGCCGATTCCATCTCCTCCATCGCGTAGGAAAGCGTTCTGTCCGTGTCCCACCACTCGTCCCTGAGTCCAAGATAGAACTCTTCAGCTCCTCATCGGATACACGCGCCAAGCTTGCTGATTTTATACTTCTCCGGCCACGCGTAGCCGCTCTTGAGCCATTTCGAGCTCTTCCCTTAACGCGCGGCCCCAGTGCTTGAACCCGCCGCCCAAGCCCTTGTGGAGCTCCTTACCGGTGAATACGCGATTATCGAGCTTCGCATCCTTCGCCAATGGCACACGAGTCAATCCGCTGACGAGCGCTCCTCCAGTCGGCGCAAATACGCATGGATGCAGCAGAGTCGCTTGAGCGGCTGCGCAGTTCATCTCATCGTGTGCCACTGCTTCGCGTTCAACCACTTCGCGTGCCGCAGTCTCGCATGCTGAGGCTTCGTGCGTCGCTCTCGCATAACCTCGTTCTTCCGCCTCACGCACGCGACGCTCGACGTCTGCAGCGTTGTGCTGCGCATTCTGCCACGCGCGACCCGCATTTTCTTGGTCCAGGTTGACACGTCTGGCTTCTTTTCCAAGCCTCGCCTTGCGCGTCTGCTGCTCCTCTTTCACGCGCCGCGCTTGCGCCATTTCACGTGCGCGATGCGCTTCTCCTGCCGCTCTAACTTGCTCGGCAAGCTCGATCTCTCGCTCGCGTTGCCGATTCTTCTCGTGTAAGACATCTTGCTTGTGCCTAAAGAGACTCTGTTCTCTCTCTTGAGCTGCGCGGGTCTACTGGTCGTGTTGTAGTGCAAGCGCTTCTCGCTCCGATTGCATACGTGCTTGAGATTGCGCGACTTCGCGCCCTTGAGCTTCCAGCTGCGCCGCCAAGGCTTCTCTTTGTTGCCTCTGGAGCTCTGCTTTGCTCAGCAGGTGTCGTTCGACCTGCTGTAGTTGTCCGTGCGCAGCTTGGATAGCAGCTCGCTGCTCCGCTTGCTGTGTCTCTTGTGCTTCTGCCACTGCTCGCAGCTGCATGCCTTGGGCTTCTGCGGCGACTCGCAGGCCTTCGCGCGCAGCCGCAAGTTGTTGGAAGTGCTGCTGCTGCTCTTGTCGCAGTGCTCTTCTTTCCGTCCTGACGCTCGCGTTGCGCGGGTCGTCAACCTCCATGGGTCTCCCATGCGTCATTCGCATGGACGGGGATCTGAACGTTTCTGCTAGTCTCTTCGTTGGCACCATAGCTCTTGTCTCAGTACTGCCTGGCCCAAACGTTGTTTCTGTTGGTGCTGGAAGCGTCAGTCGTTCTCTCTCGAGTTCCTCGAGTCGTGCTACCATCGCAGATTGTTGTTCCATGACAAGCGCGAGATCGGGTCGCATGTCTTCTCCGCTGTTGTCGCTCGATCCAGCTGGAGGTGTCTACGCGACCTCTTGCGTGTTGCGACGCCTCGCTATTGTTGCCGCCGCTGCGCGTTGAACGGCGCTCGCGTACTCAACGCCCCTATTTGAGCTCATAACCTTTTGGCTTTGCATCTGCGTGCAAAGGGAGAACGAGTGCGCGGTCGATGTGGTTTTCCAGACTGTATTGTGCGGTTTAGATTCTCACAAAATCTACTCTTGATCTCACTACACACTGCGTACAGATGCCCTTCACTATCTCAGGAGTTCTGCAAGCTGCACGCTGTCTCTCTCCCGCACAGCTTTTCCACCCTTCCCGTCAGGTGCCGTGCCTCGCCTTCTAACACTCCTCTCCAGTATCCTACTGCATCCAGAAAGTCTTGAGCTCTGCAAGCATCGATGCAGCATTCTGAAGAGGGACGGGCGGTGCGCTACCGTCCTCCTTGCTATCACGCGCAATCCTCGCTTCAACCCTATCCCCCTAGCTCTGCTATGTAATAATTTCCTTATTCAATCAAAATCTGGCGGTCCCGGCCATATTAAATAAGGAGACTCTACCGTAGTAGCTTTACCCTTCGGCCTCGCAACAACAATCCAATTTGGCAATTTACGAGTGTTCAAATCTGATTACTTGACCTAAGTATGGAGTGAACGCTCGTTAGCGAATAGTAAAGGCTGCTTAGCGGCTTCTCCTTTTACATAATGGGTCTATACCATTACAACACCCCAACTACGGACACTCGTGCAACATACTTATGATAGTTCAGTTTGTCGCAAGAAAAGAAAAAGATGTATTATCAAAACATCAACAACCACAATTACAACTGCTCCATAGAGTGTGTTCTGAACAACTAAACAAACTCTGGTCTCAGTCGTTCACTGGATTTGCCATCCGCGCATCCCTGCGCCTCTTGAAGATCGTGGAGCGTTACGTAAGACTTTTCATCCAATCAAATTGCTCAAATTCGATCGTTTCAGCCAATCGCACGCCCTCTGCCCGTCTTTTCGTCCAGCACGTGACGTCCACGAATTGACTGGCAAGCACGACGCAATGCGGTACTTACGGGCCAAGGGCATCCGCAAGGCGCTGTGTCGGTTCCACTTCCTATGCGGCCTCAAAGCGCCGTACAAAGTGCTGCTCGATGGCAACTTCATTGCAATGTGCATCCAAATGAAGGTGGACGTACACGAGCGCGTGCCCAAGTATCTCCAGGTCAAGCCTCACGAGTGCGAGTTCTACGTGCCCCGTGCGGCGCTGGACGAGCTGCAGCTGCTGAAGGAGGTGACGAAGGACGCTTTTGAACTGGCCAGAAGCTTCAAAGTCGCAGAGGTCTACGGCCAACTAGAGGAGGAGACGGACGGACCCGTGGACGTGTCCAAGGCCATCCAGAGCATCATCGGCGATCGGAACAACCGCAAGTTTGTAGTGTGTACGCAGGAGGTGGAGCTCCGCAAGGCACTGCGACTGGTGCCTGGGGTACCGCTTTTGTACTTGAACCGCTCGGTGTTGGTGTTTGAAGAGATTTCGCACGCGACGTTAGCGATCGTGCGACAGGAGGAGAAGGCCAGTATGGCCAAGCTCGACGTGAACGAGAAGAGAAAGCTGGAAGCAATGCAGGATGGAGACTGCAACGATGACCACGCAGAGAAGCAGCGGCTACTGAAGAAGAGAGCAAAGGGTCCGAACCCGCTTTCGATCAAGAAACCTGCGCATAAGAAGGTTCGCTCGAGGAAGAAAAAGATCTAAGTTTACGAGGCTGAGTTGTGGAGGTGGAATGACAACTTTTGTATCAAGTAGATGCGGTCTGCTTTCTGTGTGTACGAGTACTTGCTGATGAATCTGCCGTGTACGACGACCTAGACGTGTCGATCTGAAAAGCCGTGCTGATCGAATTGCATGATCACCTGAGCAAGCCAACCTAGCAACTTCAACATCAACGTTAGCGGGGTGGTTCATGTCGCCGTGAGGAACGTACTAAATACAGCCGAGTGGTCATTGAAAGTCTGGGAAGTAAGCACAGCAATGGTCGCGGCCGAGCTGCTACTTCGTGCGATGACCAGCATGAAAGCCATTTACATTGTAGTGTGCTCATGTCTGCAAGAAGCTCAGCGCTTGAGCAAGAAAGGACTTTCGATGTCAGCTCACGGCTTCCTTGCCAAAGTTGCGGTTGATGGCGTGGTCACTGCTGGCTGAACCATTTGTGCACCATTGACAGACCACCACTCGTCGGGTAAACTGAAGACCGAAGAAAGCTGAGAACTCGCTTGCATCAAAGACATCCGAGGTTTTGTCAGTGGATCACTCCAACGTCAAAGTGATCAGTGGTGTCGCTTGGAAAAGATGAAGCTGCATAATCAAGTCGGAGTCAGAGACCTGAAACTGCAATGGGAAAATTGATGATGCACCAAGGCAAACACTCAATCTCGATTGAGCTGTGGTGATTGCAGGCTATCAGTGCGTTGTTGCAGACAGATCACAACCAAAACTTCTGACCATAGCATGCACAGGCATAGTTGGAAACACGATCAGCCACGGTAGCCCGGATATCCCGGAGCTGCTCCACGGGGAGGGCCCTGAGCTGGATAGCCTTGCTGTGGAGGGTAGCTTCCCTGCTGCTCATATCCTTGCGTCGTGCCTTGAGCGGGATAGCCTTGACGCGGAGGATACGTTCCTTGCTGCTGGTATTGCTGGGGTGATTCTTGAGAGAAGCTGCCTCGCTGAGGAGGGAGACCCATTTGCTGTTGATATCCGCGAGACGTTTCGTGAGACGCTTGGCCTTGCTGCAGGGAATAATTTCCATATTGCTGGTATCCTTGAGGTTGTCCTTGAACGGAGTGACCTTGAGGTTGTCCTTGAACGGGGTATCCTTGAGGTTGTCCTTGAACGGGGTATCCTTGAGGTTGTCCTTGGACGGGGTACCCTTGATTATGCTCTTGCAGCGCGCCTTGTGCAAGATGAGGCTGTGGGCCAGGCGTCAACGCTGCAGCAGAGGGCTCGGAAAAGGAAGATGACGTAGTTGGGTCGCATGTGGAAGGTTCAGGGAACAAACGGTATGCAGGTGGAAGCGCCGGTTTGGGCGCAGCACCACACACTTTCATGTACTGGCACAATTGACGGGGAATCTCTGCAAGTGTTTCTCTTGCCAGTGCGTCCGGGTGATGTACAAACCGGTTGTATGGGACGAACTGAACGCTACAGCGCAGCGGAAGAACATTGACGTCAGTGAACATTTCTACACGTCCCTATATCGGAACAGCCCAGACGAAACTGAACGAAGAACGTACATATCGCGCGCAGATATGCGCCCATTGCTGGCACGCAGCTTCCCTCCATCCCCATCTAGGGCTACCATGGAGGAGAAGTCGGCGGGACCCACTCCAATGATCACAATCTGAAAAAAGAAGAACGATTGAATTAGCAGTACATGATGATCCAGCTATACGGTGAGTGCTTACCGACAGCGGCGAAACGTGGGACGCCTCGACCAGCGCTTCGATGGTTTTCTGCATGTCCATAATCTCACCATCTTACGCAATAGAGAGTTACCATTTAGCTCAGGAGCATCACGAATACTCGGATATCAAGCATACCGGTGATGATTAGAAGAACAAAGTACTTCTGCTTGCGAGGGTCACTTAGCTGCTTCGCAATTTGCATGGACTGATTGATAAGTCTGCACGGACACAACAAAAGATGAGATACCATTTCGAATCAAACACGCAGTAGTGACGCACGGAGCGAAAAACGTTGGGCCATGAAGCCGAATGTGCCCGAGAGACGACGTATAGAGCTAGTCAAACATAGAAAAAGTAATTACGCGAGTAACGTCAATGACCACAAGCCTTACTTTTAACGTACCTGCAGGACCCCCTGAGAACCGGCGACTTCCGGGTTTGATGGGTTCAGATTCAGCGGAAAGCAGTGATCGACGGTATGCGCTCCTGGTGGAATTCCACCGAATCCATACACCGGGAATTGCTTGTCGACATCATACTCTTGCAAAATCGAAACCGTCGATGATATCGCATGTTGGTACTGGTTTGGCCCACGAGGATCAATAAAGTGCAGGCTACAGACACATTACACGAACCGCGTACGACAATCAATTTCGACATCCCGGATCACACTAGAATTCCAACCGCCAAGATACAATAATATCCATACCTGCGAGGGTCATTCGGTGGGCCATTTGATGCCGTGTAGTCGATGCCGATTATCAAATTCATCTCCATTCCACCTCGGACTGATTTATCAGTTACAAACCATGAACGTCAGAACGTCTCTTGCAGTCACCATTACTACAGTTACCATGCTGACAACATAGTTCACTTACGATAGTCGATGAAAGTATGATCGCGAAATATTCCCGCCTCCGCGGCCACAAGCAGACCAGCGTTGGTGTATCTTTTGCCCTTCTTCTTTTGTAACGCCTCATTGTGTAAAACAAAGCTGACGCCATGCTTCCCTAGGATCTCCTCCAGTGTAGTTTGCGCTAGTCCAATAAGCTCTGATTTGCCACCACGGTCTTCATCAAGCACCTGCAAGAGCAATGGCCGCTTGTATTCGCCATTACATAGTTGCTGGAGCGGTACCTCGAAGCGTCTCCACTTCGGGTTCAAGTTGTTGTCGATCGTCTCCGTTCTGTACACTTGCGTCCAAGACCCGTCGTCTTCTCGGAGGCGACTGATCACCAAGAATGGATCGCTCTTGCCGAAAAGACCGTCCATGTTAGCAAGACCAGTAGCACAGAAGCAGAGTCGTACCGTCTCGCTAGAAACTTTGGCCTCCTCAGCCTTCACTAGCAGCGAGCCCTGACGATTCGCCGTACTTGTACCACGAGTAAGCCAAAAAGACCCGCTCTGACCTTCTGCACCCATCAATTGTCCCAGCGTGAACTCTGCGCTGCCGATAAAGTCCTGATCCTTGAGCTTGTCGGGGGACGAGCTGTCTTGGTCGTAGACTTCCACCTTGAGGTGCTGGACAGATTCGAAGTGGAACTCGACCAGGAAAAGCTTGGTCCATACGGGATTCAAGTCGTCTTTCTTGGCTTCGGTTCTTCCTATTGTAGTCCACATACCACCGTCTATTTGCACATCAAGCAATAACAAATAGAGTCAAGTCTAGTGGACAGCAGAGTTGCGACTGAACAGCTGCTCACTTTTCACGTAGAGCACGGCAAATGGATCGGATTTCGAGATGATGTCGCGGTCTTTGAGGTTCGTGGCGCGGATTGACAGCTCAATTGACGACGTGGGGGCGCGCACGGCCCCGAGTGGAGACGCCGCAGCGGCATACATGACTCAGCTTTGGTCCAAACGGTGGGTCGCGACAGCGGCTTTTCGACGCACGACGGGTTATCGTCCAATCACATGCGACGAGAGAGCGCGCGTTGAGAAAGAGCAATATTCATGAAATAGTCGTCACTTTTTTTTGTGTCGAAATCGTTACTTCAGGCGATCAAGTATGAGAAATAAGCGACGTGATGCTTTTCGTTTTTTAAATTAGACTCTGCGCAGTAGTAGTTGCACGACTGACCAGTGGCTGTTTCATCGGACAGGTTAGGGTTAGCCCGTACGGCAACAGCTTCCAAAAACGACGAAGATGTTTCTATTTCTGAGATAACTTTCCGAGTAATGCGCTGTGGAGACTATAGATCGCTGGTTGTGACGTGGTCTCACGTGTGGGTCTCAATTGTAGGTTTGGGCAAAATAAACAGCATCCACCATTTCTCTACACAACGAGGCTTGCGTGCTCGTTTCGCGTGAATCCATGACGGGAAGACCGTATGCAACGCATAAAACGAACAGAGTAGTCGCTTGAAACTAGATGGATACAGTCTCATACAGCGGCGTCAGTTTCCGCGGCTTCTTTCCCGCCTGGAGGCAAAAGTCGGATCTGTGTATCGCTGTTCGCGCGGCAATATTATGACAATCGAGATCATATGGTCGGCTGTAAAATAGGCTTTCGTCGAAAGTTTGTAGCCAATTGTAAACAATCTTTTGAGCACGCATTCGGAGACGAACCAGCAGCACGTATTCAGCTTACTCCGTGACTTCATCAGTCCGAATGGAGCCCTCGGATATAGCGATGTGATAGCACTGAAGTAGTCGTCCGTGCGTGTCAAAGTATGAAAATAGGAGAAGTCCGCCCACAGCCTACATTTAGCCAGGTGCCGGCCCAATGACCGCGTTTGGCAGGTAAGCGCGCGATGCTGACATCATTCCACAGGTTGGTTGGGGTAGAATGACGTAGGCATGCTTGAACATCACGTCTGTATACCACTCGCCGCTATTGTCGTGATCACGTTGATCCAAAGCAGATCGTCGGTCTCGCGACGATGCGCACGGGATACATCGGAGGAGAGACGCGGCGGAATCGACTGATGCCCACGATTTTATGTGCGTTAGTCTTTCCTTATGCTTGGAAGTGAAATCGTGTGGACTGCACAGTCGTCGGCAATCGTGAGAAAGCACGAAAGCACGATCGAGACGGCGGCATTGGTGCAAGACGAACCTTTACGGCTTGATTACCGACCAGCCGCCTGCGGGTGGTAGCAGCGTGAGTCTTATCAATATGCGACACATGACTTGAAGGCGTGAACCCGTTCGGGTCATACTTTACATCGCTACACACGAAATATCACTCCAGACCGCGCCGGCTCTATCAGGCGTATTGCAGGCTCATGATGCTTCTTAGCTCGACAAGAAGAGTTACGTGTTCTAGTAGTACACGAATAGATGCTCGTCGCTCCTGTATCAGGACCGACGCCAGTTCTTACAGTGAGCTCTCGGACCCCCGTACGTCAGCTATGAAAGGCAGCCCTCTGATCCTTGTAGGTCAGTCGAAGCATCACGTACTTCAGCCCTATCTACTTTCCCTATCGAGATTTGCTGCTGATGTCATTGCTGCTGATGTCATTGCTGCTGATGTCATTGCTGCCAAGCTCCTGATAAGTTGGCCTGTAGGTTAACTCCGTGCGATAGTTAATTGCAGCAGCCGCGCAGCGATGTCGCAACCAGTGTCCGTACCTGTTCATTCCATCTCAATCGTGTCAGCACGCTCGCCGTTCGTGGCCACAGCATCGCTGCTTTCAATGTTAGTAGCATCTTGGAATTCAGTGCGTGATGACTTCCGAGGTGCAGCAAATCAAACCAGCTACAGCCATTACTTGACCTCGTGTCGTTGCGCCGCGGCTCTGGAAACCACTTGCCCACGCCACGAATTCGAAAGTACTGGTCGCAGAAAAACACCTGTCAAATCTTATAAATCTTTCTTTTTGTGCGGACTTCGCGCAACTTCACAGCTCCGAAGTGATCGAGGTGTTATCGCACAACTAATTTCGCCGGCACCTGTCTCGATCGCATTTCAATGAAACTTGTGCGGTGCTTCACCGGCAGGTTGTTCCGCGGACGTGCACATTTGCTGCTTGTCTCTGCCACCAAAAGGAAACCGTAAGACAATCACATGTCGGGACCGCCACCACATTTTGCCTTTCGTGTCGCAAAGGCGGACGATCTTCTGACCGAAAGCAGGAATTTGTGGTCTCGTCCGTACTCGTTACGAAGGCCACGCAAAAGAAGATGCGGCGTCCGGCTATCACGAAAGAGCGGAGAGCGGAGAGTGCCGTCAGTCACTCGTACTTTCCAGGTTCGCTCGAAGCCACAATCCCCGATCGACCGAAAAGTTTGGTGACAATTCATCGCACGGGCTTTTTGCTGAGCTGGAGATGGTGAAGTACCTCTTGAAAATCACGGAGTCGCACAAGTCACGCGCAGATGGTGATGCATTCGTAAACCATTACCAGCTCCTTGCACCCAAGACTGTAGTACATCCAGTGCGTCGCTAGACGTGTCAGGAAGTCAATCGTAACATTAATGGCCATTCCGTCAAAGACCCCACCTGGGTCGCAAACTCCAGCGCTCGTCGTTTTTTGTTCCTCTTCTTCTTCGTGCCCCGTCTCGGATGCGTTTCGTGTGCTGGGTCGAAAGATTCGGTGGTCGTAGCCACCGAAGTCGGACGAAGCTGTCGTGTGGGAGTGTACGCCAGCCATCTGCGAGCGTGCGTCCCCCCGGAACACCCACCAGCCAGAACGAAACTTGCCTCGAACAGAACAGCACGAGCATGAGCAGCCAAAGTGGCAGTAGCAGCCACAGCAATAGCAATTGCAGTAGCCCCCGCAGCCCCAAAGTCTGGGCCCAGGCTATCCACGCGGTGGCCGAGCGCCGCCTGACCCTCCGACAAGCTTCCCAGACGTACGAAGTCCAGCCCGCGGCGCTGCATCGTCTCGTTCGGCAGCACACACTGCAGCAGCAGCAGCAGCAGCGACGTCAGCCGCCGTCGTCTCCGTCGCGCAGCCCAAGTCCGACCCACAGCAGCAACAACCCCCACCACCACCACAACAACAACGACAGCTACGTGTTCCCACGTCTGAACCCACTAGCGCTCGGCCACAGCAGCCCCGTGGGCGTGTCCCTGCCCGCAGTCACCGTCTCGCCGTCCGTCTACGAGCTCACGCCCGAGATCAACGACGAGATCGTCGCCATCCTCCGCGAGCAGTTTGTGCCCCAGCAGCAGCAACAACAGCAACACCATCAGCAGAACCTGCATGGCAGCAGCAGCAATAACAACGCTGACGACCGCTGCTATAGCCCTCGGGAAGGCTACGCTGACTCGGACATTACCGACGTCGTGCGTGCCATTGTCGGTCGTAACGGTCGGCGCGCGCTGCCGTCGACGTTCCCGTCGTCTCAGTGGCTGAACATGTTCAAGCGCGAGAACGACTTCAGCAATTGCCAGCAGCAGCAGCAAGACGAGCCACAGCGGCATGGCCAGCAGCTCCGATGGGTGCAGAACCGCAGTCACCGTCAAGTAGCGGCACCGCCTCCCCCCCTGTCGCCACCTGTGACCAGTCCGACTCCGCAACATACCGCGTACGTCTGGGACAATGTTGATGGAGCCGGTCGGTGCTCGGACGACCACCAGTGTCTTCCATTCCAGCCACTGTCGCACCAGTTGAGAGACAGTAGCAGCAAATTCCGTCACAGTCCCAGTGTCGAGGACGCTCCAGGACTGGACCGGAACTACCGTCAGAGCAATCTCGTGCCTGCTAAAGTGTGGGAAGCGGCGATGGAGGACGTGGCAATCCACGGCATGAGCTTACGCAATGCGGCTAAGGCCCACGGCGTCCACTTTGCAGCGCTGCATCGTCGACTGAAGAAACGTCAGCAACATAAGCTCAGCATGCCTTGCGAGCCGAATTACATTCCGTTCGAAGACGAGGCGGGAGTTGTTCGTGTCATCCACGCACGTGCGGAAATGGGCGTGTTGCTGACGTTCACTGAGCTGGTGGATCTCCTGCAGCGGACGGCGCTCAAACACCGACCGGATCTACCAGAAGAGGTGGCCACGGCTCTTGTACGTCGCTTCCAGTCCCGTGTCGAGCAGTCTATTCGCCACTTGATCCTGGACTGGCCAGCTCTGCCGAGCAATGTGCTGTACCGACTGCGTACTGCGGGCGGCAGTGAGAGCGACCAGTGCAGATTTATTACTGATGGTTCTGCTGCTGCTAGTAGCGGCAGTGAAAGAAGCTTGCCGTCCCTCATCAGCGGGGGCAGCAGAGGCGGGACACCACTGTCCTCGTCAGGATCGTCTTCGTCCCTGTCTTCACACCCAGGAGCTGCGTATCCAGTGATGCACAAGTCTCCAGTGTCTTCGACATCAAAGTTGACGTGGAGCAACCTCGACACAGGGAACAAATGCATCAACGACAGCGTAAATGGCTCTGTCGCAGCGGTATCACCGCCGTCCGATGACAGTGACAATGTCCCTGTAACCGCTGGGTCGCTCTCGGAGACGGCGTCCAGACAGCCGTGCATGCTTTATCTCCTGTGAATGTGCGTGCGTTTCTCCGGCCTCAGCTGCCCAAGCGCTATTTGTATCGATTGATGGACTGCATCTGGCCGTGAACTGTGTTCCGCGGGGGCGACGGTGTTGTCGTGTCTTGTATCATGCGTGGAACGAGTCGGATGCAGATGCTCGTGGTGATGTCCTACTGGAACATCTTTCCATGCACGTCGGACGTGTACGTTATGAACATTCTACACACGTTGTTGTGCATGTACAGGATTGAGATGTGTATTTAAGATACCGGTAGACGACGTAAGCAATGAAAGTCGTTTCTTATACAGTTTGTCTGGCCACTACCATAACCTTTTGCTGAGCTCGTTATACTGTCGTTCATCGAGCCAAGCGCTTTTAAAACAATCAAGGAGCTGCAGCAGTATTCGAACCTCAACTGCTTAGGCGGTTCTCGCGACATCAAGCAATAGCGTCTCAAGTTCTTGAGCTGTCAATTGGTGCTCAATCTGGGCGATATCTCGATCACGTAAGACCGCATACTTGTACGTCCCGAGCGGGGTAGCCAAGTTCGTGCAGGCAAAAAGCGTCTGTTTTGCATTGGCGGTCACCGACTCCGCATGCACTATGGTGCTAGTTGCAGGATAGGAGTCGAGAGACACATTAGTGTAGGCAGCGCTTATACTGGATCAAGATGTAGGGTACGCTTACCGTTCCGTAGTGAGGATGGAAGTACGACCAGCTGCGCTCGAGCTTAGTGTCATCCATAGACGTAGCATACGCGCTCGCGCTTCTTCGCGATCCATTGAAAAAAGAATCTCGAACTGAATGTGAGAACAGCAATCGAATCAATGGATATACTTGAAACTAACTCTACACTCATTTTATGCCTCCTCAACGTGCAAATGCGTGTCAATGAGGTCGATATCATGCTGCAATTCCCGACGTCTCTCGACTTTCGTAGTGGCGGCCTCAGGTCCAACAAAAACAAGTTCGTCCAGCTCCTTCGTAGAGGCGTCCGCAACGGCTCTAACGTCCTTGGCTGAGATCAACCCCTTTTTGTACGCTCCAAGTGCCGCCCCAGTGAAGGTCTCAAAAAACTCAACACCTTCACTGAAAGTACCACAACATGCACAGAGTAGAGTTAGACGAGTCTTCAGGACGAAACGATCAATAACACGTCATGTACTTACGCAGCGTACACCCGCTTGATCCCGCCGTCGCCTGCACGAGCGAAAAGGGGATTCACGTTGTGAATGAAAGCGCCCAGCACCTGCTCTGGGCACTCCTTCAGCAGTCGCGATGCCAACAACGCATCGCCTTGGCCCGAGTCACCGAAAAAGACAAACTTGAACTCTGGAAACAAAGCTGCAAAGCGAGAAAAGTTGTCCATCTTGAGACCCGCGATCTTCTCGTTGCTCACGAGCCCCTTTACGGACCCGTTGAGCACCGTGACATTCGATACACCCAGCTTCTTCAAGTGCTGCATTGTAAGATAGCGCCCAACACTTAGCCAACCACGAGGTCTTGCAGTGAGGAAGGTGATTGACGGGCGAAAGCTTTCGCCTTTGGCATCTTGTGCGAGGCCACGGGAGAGCCGCGCATACAGTTCCGAGACACCTGGGTACGGAATATGCAGCGGATAACGCTTATCGAGCCAACCCGGGAAGAGTGTGTCGTCAATGTCACTGACCACCTTGACCAGATCCGGCTGGTGTGCCTTGACCTTGAGACTTTCCACTGCAATATGCTGCATCATGGTCACGACTTCGGTGATGTTCTTGTTTCCAAAAATGAGCTGAATGAGGTCTCCCGAGTGCGGCGGGTCTTCTTGAGCAGGCGTCCTTCGACGACACGAACCCTTATCGAGATCCACGCTTGCTCCGAACTGAATATGACCTGCTGTGTCAATGAAAGCCTCTTCATTCAAGTGAATCTGTTCCTTTAGAGCCGACAACTCCAACCCAAATGTGCCACAAACCACATTCTTCGCCGCACTATGCAGCGCGCTTTTGTCACGGATCAATGGCAGTGACAAACAGCGCTGAATCGCGCGAATCACCAGTGCTCGGTTAGCAATTGTGATCTCTCCCAGTCGCTGCTTCGTCAGGACATCCAGCACCTTTGCACGTCCAGACGGTGTGCACGAATACAGCATAAAGCCGACCATCGTCCTGCAGAATTGGTTCGACATCTCAGGCGACGTGGCTCCCAACATACCATTCAAACTCGACGTCGACGCCGTTGCCAGCACATTATGACAAGCCAGAGGATCGTCCAGTCGTCCATTCCGAGGCTTCAGCCGCACTTCTTTCTGCATCTCGTCGCTGAAAACAATGGCCGTCGTGTCGTCCTTCAGCGTCTTGTAGCGCCAAGCCGTGCGCTGCTTCAGCCCCTTCCACTTTTGCTGCAGTCCACCGGCTGCCAACGCCCACGTCGACGTCTCTCGTCTCTGCCAACGGTTCCAACGTCAGAGTTACTTCACGACTTCAAATCACGCTCAATAGTGCAACGTACCATCAGCACACATGGCTGTATCATGAGGCAAGGCGTTGCAGACACGTGCAAGTAACATGGGGATGCTGGGCGTCTGCTACGAGGCGGCACAGACGCTGGAAGCGGTCGACGGAGTCGCATGGAAAGCAGGGACTAGTGCGACCATGAGGTTTTGCCAGCTTATGTTGCGCAATTTGCGCAAACATATGTTGCTCATGCGCAACATTAGGTCGTCCCGAAAATAATGACAAAGCGTGCCTACTTTCAACATGTTTCGTTATCGTTAGCGCAGAGGAACTCAAACTCGGCCATAATGGGCACGTGATCACTGCCATGGACGGAATTAGGGATGCCATTGTAGTTGCCGTGAAGACCCAATGGAAGACGGCCTGAACGGCCCAAGCTGTCGGATAGAGACAGTCGATTGAACCAGTTGCTTGGTCCGTCTTCAGCTCGTAGTTCAGACTCTGGTGGAATCGCCAACACTCGCGACGGCACCAGAGTGCTCTTCGAGTACCAGATATAGTCAATCGTCCAGCAACGTCGAAAGTTCACGGTGGTATGCGGCGGCTCGGTCTTCTTGCCTTTTTCGACCTTGAGCGACTGCAGTGCCTCTTCTGAGTGTTCCGATGCACTCGCCAGTGCGTTCGGCTTGTAGCACGCATAGGCACTGCGAAAAGCTTCACTCACGCCTTCTACGTTGGGCTTCTGCATGAACGAGCTTTCCATGTACTCGTAGATTGGCGATTCGGGAGAGTTGTTGAAGTCACCGCAGAGTACGATCGGGATGGTATTCGGACCAGTGAAGGTCGCGGCCAACTCGCACTGATACTTGTCCTTCACATCGCTGCTCATACGAATGACCTCTTCCTCGAGCTCACACAGCTCGGCCATCTGATGGTCGACCCTCCTGTAAACATTTGGACAACACACAAGAGCTCATGTCAAAGCTTTCGAAGGCATCAGTTGCAACCACAAATGCGACTACAAACTCAACTGACTTGGCATTCCACCACAAGTGTGTGCAGCCGACCAGCACAAACTGCGCAAAGTGACGCATCTTCAGCAACGCCAAAACGGCCACTCGGTCATGCGGATCGTGAAAGTTCACGGCTTCAAACTCTTTCAGCTCAAACTTGTCTTTCCTGATCCACGCACGCGCACAAACCACAATACGTGCAGCACCAAATCGTCAAAATACTCCAACAGCGCCGACGGATAACGAGTATCAAGATTCACTCACTTGTAGAAAATCCCACACCCATCGTGCTTCTTCTCACCAGACCAGTTCGAGACATGGATGGACGGACGCTTGACATAGACGCTTTCGTACCCTCGATCTTGCAGTTCCGGCTTGAAAAATCTACATCCGACACAGCAATCGACACCGTCACTCCTACTCTTAGCTGTACGTCATACCCTCACGTATCACTGCACTCCTCCCGCACATACGTCCAATAGTCGCTCAGCTCCTCGAGACACAGCACATCCGCGTCTAGTGTGTCCAATTGTCTCAGCAACGCCATTTTTCGGTTTTCCCAGTTCAAACTCGACTCCAAGACGTACGGAAAGTGATTGCGTGTAGCCAAGTTGCTCGCCAAAATGTTTAGCTGCAGCACGCAATCCTCAGCAGCCGACACCTTCAAGAAGAAATGCACAAATCTGTATCATATACCTGTACGACCGTGATCTTCTGCGTACCAAGTCGACCAGGATCCACTTGCTCGAGTTCCTTGATACACGGCAGTAACGGTGCACTCGATAGTCGTCCAGTGTGAGAGCTGCATAAACCGCGTCGAGATGGACAGTGCACAGACGCCTGACGAATAGCCTTCCAGAGCTTCTTGTTGTGACCGGAGAATGAAACGGATGCGAGGACGGCCACGCCAATGCCGAGACACACGGCAGCTGGGCGGTGCGAGAGCGTCACGCTCATGATTGATGACGAAAAACGAGAGGGAGATGGGTACACACTTTCCCTCTCAAAGTTGATACGTGGCTGCGTTCGTATAAATCCAGCAAAGGTACGACGAATCAGGCCGTCGGAGGAGTGTGAAGTAAGCGCATGAAGGTACGCGAGTTAGCACTACTTCTTCGCCAGTCTCACGAATGGCTACCACCCGTTCTCCCCGCCCAACCACTCGATTGCATGAGATGGCCGTCATTTTGGATTCAGGTTACTGTCAGTCCAACGTTACTGGTGCGTGATTCTGTAGCAATGCGTTTACTGCTGCTCTGTGAAGCGGCTGGCAAGCATGTTGTTGTACACTGATACTCTCTATTGTCCGAACCTTGCACAGCCCTCTTTCCACCATGTCCCTTGTCAACAAGCCAAAGACCGTCGAGGCGGAGGAGACCCGCATCCACCGCATTCGCATTACGCTCACGAGCCGTAATGTGAAGAACCTGGAGAAGGTATGCACGGACCTCAAGCGCGGTGCTGTGGACAAGAACCTGAAGGTGTCGGGCCCTGTGCGTCTTCCCACGAAGATCCTGCGTCTGACCACGCGCAAGTCGCCTTGTGGTGAGGGTACGAACACGTGGGACCGCTTCGAAATGCGCATCCACAAGCGCATCATCGACTTGCACGCTCCTTCGGACATCGTCAAGCAGATCACGTCCATCTCCATCGAGCCTGGTGTCGAGGTTGAGGTGACGATTGCTGACTCGGCCTGAGTGCATCCGTTGTCCGTTGCTGGTGTCTCAGCTTGATCTGAATCGGGAGCTCTCCCTTATGCTTGAGGCGATCGGTTTGTGGTGTGACTCGGGATTGTCATGAGGATGGTATTAAACGCCTACGGGTGTGAATAAATTCCTACCTCACGCAACTTTTTGCTGCTACCTCAGCGCCGTTTATCAATCTTGCGAACGCAGGCTGCCGTCTCCATAACATGGCCGTGTAGGCGATGCCAGACGTCGCACCTTGACTGTGCTGGATCCCTGGACCTCGCTACGACGATCGATCGATGGCCTGATAAGTCGACTCACCTTCACTTCAGGTCTTTGATCGGAGGAGTCAAACAGAGACCTCAATCGTAGTGGCTTGCAAGTCACGCCATTCATAGTGCTGTAGTCGACAAAAGACATCCCACAACCGCACTGTCTTCGCTAAAGAGAACACCCTTCAGCACGTATCCACACAGTCCCTCTCGAGCACTGAACTAGGATCTGACATCCAGCCTTCCTATCTGCGAGATTCCCTATTTGTCGCAGCTATCTTCACACATTGATGTGTACCACACTATATCCGACCCTGCCTCACTTCATCCTAGCTCAACGCGGTCGAATCCAGGTCGACACGAGCGCCCCGGCACCAGCCATCGTGGAAAAGTCCGTTCGCTGCGAGATCACGCTCTCTTCCTCTCTTCCCATGGCTCCATCGACGCCGCTCGTGGTGCTCTGCGGCGACCGTGCGCCCGACGTGCTCATCGAGACTGCTGCTGTACTGCAGGCCGGCGGTCTGCGCCTCGCCTCGCTCTGCTCTCCCGTTGTCGCTGCTGCTTTAGTGACTGCCAAAGTGCCGCACGTGGCGGTGGCTACACCTGCAGACGTGCAGTTGATGCTCTCGGATCGTGTTCAAGCCGTACTGGCGCTTCCGCCTGGAGTCTCCGACGTACAAGATGCTGCTGCCCGTTCACGTGTGGGGAACTGGATCTCTGGCGCCTATTCGTTCGTGCGCACGGCTGCGTGGCACCACAAGCAGATCAGTGTCATTGTGGACGAGGCAGACTTGAAGATGGTACAGAGCACGCTTTCAAGCGATGGATCGCTGGCTTTTTCGCTGCGGGAACGACGTGCATTGGCGCAGAAAGCCTTTGCTTTGTTCGCAGAGCTGGACAAGGCTATTGCTACGAGTCTCAATGGGGACGACGAGGTCGTGCACGATGTGCTGCTTGTGGGCAATGGAGGTCGTGAACATGCTATCGCATGGAAGCTGGCACAGTCTGCTTCGACGGGTCACATTTACGTTGCACCTGGCAATGCTGGCACGGAGGACAATGCTGCTGATATCTCTAATGTGGCTATCGGCGTAGACCAGCACGACGAGCTTATTGCATTTGCTAAGCGCAAAGGTGTGTCTTTCTGTGTTGTCGGACCTGAGGCTCCGCTTATTGACGGGCTTGCAGACAAGATGAATGCAGCTGGTATCCCAGCTTTCGGTCCTAGCAAAGTAGCTGCGCAGCTGGAAGCGTCGAAGGCATTCTCGAAAGACTTTATGCGTCGCAATGATATCCCAACCGCGGCGTATCGAAACTTTACGGACTACGAGGAGGCCAAGAAGTACCTCGACTCAATTGACCATAATATTGTCGTCAAAGCGTCAGGTATTGCTGCTGGTAAGGGTGTGCTTATCCCGACCTCGAAGGCAGAAGCCCATGAGGCTTTGCGTGAGGTCATGCTGAAGAAGGCTTTTGGTTCGGCTGGTGATGAAGTCGTGCTCGAGGAGTTTATGACTGGCGAGGAGGTGTCGCTTTTGGCATTCTGTGATGGCGAGCGGGTGGTGTGTATGCCTGGCGTGCAGGACCACAAGCGTATCTTGGACGGTGACCAAGGCCCAAACACAGGTGGCATGGGTGCCTACGGCCCTGCCCCGTGCCTCACGAGCGAGCTTGAGCGCGAGTGCGTTGCTATTGTTGAGCGAGTGATTGGTGCCATGAAGAAAGAAGGCATGCCATATGTCGGTGTGCTGTACCCTGGCTTCATGCTGACTCCGGCGGGTCCCAAGATTGTCGAGTTCAACTGCCGATTCGGTGACCCGGAGACCCAGGTTGTGCTTCCGCTGCTGCACAGTGACCTGTTCGAGATAATGCGTGCTTGTGTGGAGCACCGTCTTGAGCACTCACTCGTGTCATGGAAGAGTGGTGCTGCTGCTACTGTCGTGATGGCATCTCAGGGCTACCCGGATGGCTACCCCAAGGGCAAGGTCATAACGGGTTTGGATGACGCCCGATCACTGAAGGACGTGGACATATTCCACGCTGGTACGAAGAAAGCTGTAGACGGCAGCATTGTCACTTCGGGTGGACGTGTGCTCGCTGTCACTGCTGTTGGCTCTTCACTGCAGGATGCCCTTTGGCTAGCGTACGAGGGCGTATCAAAGGTCCACTTTGAAGGTGCCCAATACCGTTCAGACATCGGTTTGAAGGGTTTGTTACATGGCGCGAAGAAACTGAAGCTAGCTGTACTGGGATCCACTCGTGGTAGCAGTATGCAACCAATTATTGATGCGATTTCGGCTGGTGAACTTGATGCCAGCATTGACATTGTCGTTAGTGACAAGGCCGCTGCTGGAATTTTGGAGCGTGCCAAGGAGCACAACATTGAGTCCGTAGCTCTGTCGGCCAAAGGATTGTCGCGAGCTGACTTTGACACGCAGGTGTCTGACATTCTGGTCGAGAAGAAGGTCGATCTGGTACTGCTGATAGGATACATGCGCATTCTGTCGAGCGAGTTTTGCAGGAAGTGGGAAAACAAGGTGCTGAACGTGCATCCGTCGCTTCTACCGGACTTTGCTGGTGGCATGGATCTAGCTGTTCACCGTGCCGTGATCGACGCAAAGAAGACCGAGAGCGGCTGTACGGTGCACTTTGTGACGGAGCAAGTAGATGCCGGTCCGATCGCAGTGCAAATGAAGTGCCCTGTCTTCGAAACTGACACACCCGAGTTGCTAAAGTCGCGTGTCCAGCCACTTGAGGGCGTTGCTTTTCTGCACGTTATCAAACTGGTCCAGACTGGTATGCTGTCGAAGAAAATAGCTGGAAAGAAGGAGATTACATATGCCGATGCTGGTGTAAGCATTGATGCTGGAAATGATCTGGTCAACCGGATCAAGCCGCTGTGCAAGTCGACCGTACGTGTAGGCTGCGATGCTGACCTGGGTGGTTTTGGTGGCATTTTCGATCTCCAGGCTGCAGGCTATGATAAGGACACGGCCCTCGTGGCGTGTACAGATGGCGTAGGTACCAAATTGCGTGTGGCGCAGCTCGCTAAGAAGCACGACACCGTCGGTATCGATCTTGTGGCAATGTGCGTGAACGATTTGATCGTACAAGGCGCAGAACCTCTGTTCTTCCTGGACTACTATGCTTGCGGAAAGCTTGACGTGGAAGAAGCTGCTGATGTGGTGAAAGGCATTGCCGAGGGCTGTCGCCAATCGGATTGCGGTCTGATCGGTGGTGAGACGGCTGAGATGCCTTCCATGTACCACAATGGCGACTATGACATGGCTGGCTTTTGCGTGGGTGCGGTTCGCAAGAACGCAATCCTCCCGCTACCGGTTGAAGCTGGTTTTGCGGTGCTAGGTCTGGCCTCCTCGGGTGTGCACTCGAACGGTTTCTCTCTCGTACGCAAGCTCGTGGATGTATCGGGTCTCGCGTACAGCGATCCGTGTCCGTTTGAAGCTGGCAAGACACTGGGCGAGAGCTTGCTGACGCCTACGAAGATTTATGTGAAGCAGCTAATGCCCGTGGTCAAATCGCGCCTCATTCATGCGCTCGCTCACATTACCGGTGGTGGTCTTCTGGAGAACATTCCGCGTGTTTTGACCAAGGATTTGGCCGTGGACATTGACTGTGGGAGCTGGCCGCTGCCTCCCGTTTTCAAGTGGCTGCAGAAAATGGGGAACCTCTCGGACGCCGAGCTCGCCCGCACCTTTAACTGCGGTATCGGCATGGTGCTGCTCTTGCCTGAGTCAAACGTGACGGAAGTAACGCGTCTGGTCGAAGCAACTGGCGAAAAAGTGTTCCGTCTGGGTACGACTACTGCATGCGCATCGGGTGCAGAGCAAGTTGAGCTGCGTGGCACCTTGGCGTAAATGCGCTTGGGTCGTAGAGACTCGTTTAGTGCGAGTGGTACAGCCAGCTTGCAGGTATGCCTTATCCGATATGCTAAGCTTATGGCTTGGTTTCATTCTCTGGAGTAGTACTGGACAAGTCACGTGGACAAGATGCCAAGTGGTAATTTACAACCATACACTTGAGGTCGCATTAAAGAGAGCGGATTCTCGAGTGAGATAGAGCAGCATTTTTCATGAGATAGAGAGCCAATATTTTGTATCCCCCATGTGTGGACTGAGCAACCGTAAGACATAGCGAGGCTAATGGTGAATGGCATGAAGTGTTGAGCTCTCGGTAGCCCAAGCGCCAGAGACTACAACAACTGACCGTTGTCAACCACGAGTTCACCGAGAGCAGAGCTTGCAGCACACGATTTCATTGATGTTCGCTTGTCGGATATGTGCTGCTTCTCTGATAACACAGTCGATCAAAAAACTACGCACACACGTAGAAATCACGTGCACGGGAATTCGGTCCCGTTCATGGATTGCTCTGACATTCTTGTTGAAGCTCTGGGACTAACAACCCCTTTTCCAATTCGTGGTCTGTTTCTGCGAAGATGGTCAGAAGCGTTTTGGATGTCCGATCGCAACGGAGACACGTCTTTCTTGTAGCCTGCTTGCCTTATCAGTCGAAAGCGCAGAACGACACAAGCACTGCTCTTTCAAAATGAAGCTAAACTGCATGGTGCTTTCCATGTAAAGTATCGGTTGCAAGCGGATGTGGTGGCCCAGTCGCCATGAACATACACGAATAATACGAGTCTCAACGCGTGCAATCAGCACGAACATCAAGAAAAATGCGAGCACTTTTGTCGTTCGAGTCAAGAGGGTTACTGAAGAGCTTCAGTAACCCTCTTGACTCGAACGACAAACGATTGGAGCCATGTATGGATCGCATGGCTAGCGCATAGATCACCATGCCGGATTCCAAATTATCGGCATCGAAATAAAAACGCCGCAACACGTGCGGACACCACAGTAGACGATCTCGATGCAATGATCGTTGACGCCATCAGTCATGAAGCACAACTATTTCGTGAGCAACACTGGCTTGTTCAACGGAGGGCTGCGTCATGTTACCGGTCATTCCAGCGAATAGATGCGTAATATTCCTGATTATGCCAGTGAGTGGATAATTATTGTATCCGCTTTGGTGTAAAATGTAAATTTTCAGGTTTCCCAGGTGCAAATTGTGCTTTGCGGCCAGATAGGACCGGATTGCTGTCCGGGCAAAGCCAGGTCAATCAGGATGCTTGCAGCATGTATACCTTGCAACTGATGAGTGTATACTTTACCAAAGGTGTGCTGATGGAACGCTGCCCCATCCTGGTTCTGGTTCCTTCGACCACACCAGCTTCGGCTGAGCTTCCCCTTTCCCTCCCATCGATCAGCTGGCCAGTGTGGCACTAACGGTAAAGACAGCACGTTGTGCTGGCCGGGCTTTGTCAACGTCAGTGTCTTTCTTTTTTTACCGCATCGACGTGGCGCCGACGGCAGTGATCGATCGTTCTGTTTTGCATCGCAACTTGTGCTGCAGCTGGTGTACTCGTTTGCAAAAAGCCCTGATGTTGCTTTTTGCTTGTAGCTCATACTACACGTGATACTTGTATGCACCTAACAATATCGGGGTGGGGGGGCGAACATGCTCGAGTTGACCAGAAGACTGCGCGTTACAGCGCCAATAGCAGCGCCACGCATTGATAGAAGGCGGACGTCGTTAATTATTCAGTGATGTGGAAATGGATGCTACGTTGCTGCTCATGAATTGCGTCACTGGAAAGTCTACATACTCTGTTCGTATAGTGGCGACTAAAGATTCCCGTTCGAATATCTGGTTCGAGATAGTGACGCATGGATACCAAAGAGTGTCTATGGTCACTTCATGCTGGAGATCTACTCTGCGGATAACCGACAAATTGCGTTCTCTTTGACTCGCTCGCGACTCTAACGACGTATCGAGAGACGAGTAAAGGAGATAGAGATCCCAAAGAATGGCTCTCATGCAATTTAAGACGATTGGGCTGATATGAGCGCCTCAGGCAGCTGGTTGAGTGTAAGGATGATTGCGGGAAAAGGACGCTGTAGAAGCCGAGTGCGATAGACCCATCGATTGCTTGATTACGGGCAGAGCAAACCTTTGTTTTGGTCACATGCCTACTTTGTTTGCCGTTTGATTCTCCCGAGGCTCTGCGTGTATCGAACGACTACAGCAAAATGACACTTGACAAGAAAGCGATTTGTATGTCTTAACGGCTTCTGCACGTTAAGACTTTTGCGTTTGCTGCAAATTGCCAAGCTGTCCCCGTGTTGCATTTGCAAATTGATTACTCACGTCGCTTCGCGCCTTGACTTCATGGGCGCTTCCTTGCTATGGCGAAGGCTCTGGAGTAGTTCATATGCTGTAATGGCTTGGCGACTCGCTTCAATGACGTACTTACTGACAGTTTTTCTTCGGGGCATGTCGTGACATGTAGTGCGATCAGGATACCATCAAATTGCAAGAAACCAAGTCTGTTGTCGCTTTCATGCACAGCTCACTTTGCTATTGACGATACTGACGCTCATCACGCTCCATCTCCCCTGCAACGCTGGCAGGACGACGTCGTATGAAAGAAAAATGAGACCTTCATTGCATGGTCCGTATGTGCTGACGAACACCTAATGAGTTAGCGCGTAAACCGTTATGAGTGGTCCGACGACTCATACGGGAGCACGCAAGACCCCGCCGAAACGACGGGTGATCTCACGTCGAGTCACAGAAAAGCAGAATGTCCACAAGCAATAGTCTTGAGCATGTCAATGATGATCAAAGCAATCGCTATGTTACATTGTTAGAGATAGAGTCCGTACCGAAGGATACGATAATTCGAAATCCCCTTTAAGTGAAAATGTGTCGCAGACTTATCAGGAGAATGTCCTCTCAGGAATTAGAGATGATGAGTCTACGGCGAATTATTCGGGTGGAGTAGCACTGTGGCCTTTCTAAGCGCGCGCTGAGACAGTAGGACGAGGAGAGTTCGATAGGGCCCCGGCTGCGCCCATCCCCTTGAGCCCCCTTTCTCCCTACCTCGTTACGCACAATCGGTCTCTCTTTACTCGAGAAGAATTATGGTCTCACTACTGACTTAGCTTCTGTGGTGCTGCCAGTGGCGCTCGTGGTCTCGCCAACCATGGAGTCCGCATTATCGCTATCGTAATGTGGATCGTACCTAGAACCATCGAGTTGCGTTATCAAGACGTTGGTCACCAGCGACGAGGCTGAAGTAATACTTGCACTGTCCCAGCCGATCGTTGTTGCTTCTTTCCAATTCAAATAAAGAGCAACGACTGTCTCACATGCCCCCTCAGATACACACGCGGCCAGACTGTCAACATACTGGCTGCATTCGTCGCTTGAACAAATGAAGATGACGAGGGGTCGGTCACTCACGCTAGCGTAGATTTTTCGTGACCGCAGGCTGCATGCAAAAAAAGCTGATTTTTCACCAGGTTGGTTGCCACGCCGATATGCTCGCCAACTGTGGGCTGGCCGCCTGGCTGCCGAGTCGCTCGTCCCAATTGCGGCTTCTTTCGTCCCCGTCTTGGTCTGACCGTCTGAGGATCTGTTCGCTTCACACACAACAGACACCTTCTCCTTGAGGTCAAGCGAGTATGTGGTACACACAGCTCCTCCACCACTGCATCAGCAGCTCTTTTGTCACTCTTCAATTAGCGCCACGCTTCACAAGTCACGGAAGCAAATCGGCAAGTCACGCCATCTCTCTCTACCCATCAAAGTGCGTGTCGATTCGCTCGTGAGGTTCCCATGGACTGGATGCAGCCCCACGATCAGCTACTGCACGGCTCTGCGCCGTCTGCCGCGCCTTCCTTTATCCTCGTAGACGCTAACAACCGCGTCCGAGAGCTTACGGACCCGCTCAAGCGCCAGCTAGGAGCGACCCGGGGGATGTACCAACCTCCTGCAAGCGACAATGGACTATCAGCTGCTGAGCTCGAGGAACAGCGTCAACTGGAGCAACAGGTTCAGGTCCAAAAGCAGGAAATGTGCTTTATCTCGCCTCTCCCGCGTCCAGACGTCGGCCGACTCCGAGTCCCTACTACGTCGCACGCCTTTACATATGGCGGCTCCCGATCGTCCAACGTGCACTCGACGCCTCCGTTAGCGCCGCCCGTGTCACCATTTGCCAGTATGGCGCTCTCCGCTCCTGCCGCGCCCATGCGCAAGTCCCACAATCCCTTTCTCAGTGCAATGGCGGACCAGAGTCCGCGTCTCCCGTCGCTTAATGCGATGCGGAACTCCCCCGGGACCCATCTAAAGCAGCTGGGTATTGCCTCACGACCGCCCCCTCTCTCACTGCGGTCGTTCTCAGACGTGTCGACGCTGTCGTCGTCATCTCATTCGCCGTCGCCGTCGCCGTCGTCGCTTTGTCAGTCACAAATGCCGCCGCAGTCCAGAGCTCCGTGCCGCTCCCTGTCGAACTCGTCGCTGTCGTCAACGGCCTCGACGTCCCCGATGCTGTACTCACAGTCGCTCCCCGGCGTCTCCTTCTTGCAGGACCGGAGGCGCTCCCGCATGTCGTTTGACGGCTCGGAGTGCTCGTCGATTCTGTCACCCGAAGACAAGGAAAGCAGTATGCGGCTCCTCAGCTCGAGTGTCGGGCGCAGTGAAGGAAGCAGTGACGCCATGACCGCGGCCGCAAATGCTGCAGCTCAAGCGGCTCTGAACGACTGCAGCGCTCGCAGTGGTCGCGTGTGCAGGTATGCGAACTGCAGCAACATTGCTCGCTCCCGTGGTTTGTGCCGTACACATGGAGGAGGGAAACGGTGTTCACATCCGACCTGTAACAAGAGTGCGCAGGCGAACCGCAAGTGTATTGCTCATGGGGGTGGCACTCCTTGTTCGTTTGAGGACTGCGAGAAGACGGCCCAGTCGCGTGGGTTGTGCAAAGCTCATGGCGGTGGAGCTCAGTGTAAACACCCTGATTGTCCGAAAAGCAGCCAATCGAAGGGTCTATGCCGCGGTCATGGTGGTGGTATCAAGTGCAAGGCCGAGGGCTGTGAAAAGTGGGTACAAAAGAACGGGTATTGCATCAAGCACGGACGTGAGCTCGCGATGGTTTCTTGAGCGAAGGAGAAGGAGATGCTAGGCGGACTGAGCAGCCAGTGGTGTGTGGGCATGCTTTGATGTGGATGATTTATTCGGTGGAGGTGCGAGCGTGTTTAGTGGGAGCGTAGTAGGTAGGTAGGTCACGACAGAGAAAGGGACAACTTTGCTGTACGAGGTCGTCATGTGGAGTTTGATTGGAAGTAGTGCTATCGACAACGACTTGCCAGACGGACGGAGGTTATGCGTTGAGAGGCATTGTATACGAATACATGTATACGTGCGTACATAAGCAGCTCGCTTCTCTTGCTGTTTTTGCCCTTTGTGTGGTTGTGCCGGAAAAATTGAATACCTCAACTTTGTATGGAATTGAGCAGGGCATTCTCGTTAGCAGCGCAACAAGGAGTAAGGTGTAGTACAAATGGTAGCGCTCGTGTACGGTTGTTAAAGTTGCGAATCTTCCGTGTAGGCGGGCTTCGTCTCGTACTTTTATTGACACAAGTGAGTGGCAGAGCGCGTTTTGTGGAAAAAGATGAAATCGCATCTCACAACCAAGAGGTCGCTGCTTAGCCGTCGGGAGAAACGCACTGCACGCGCAGCACTGTTCTGGTAGTCTGAAAAAAGACACGATACCCGGAATCAACTCCTGACTATTCTGCGCTGCCCAGTGTTTCTCGTGCTCCAGCTGATGGTGATTCGCATGCAAAGACATGACGACCAACTCAGCTGTTTACCTCAACTTGACTGCAGCTAGACCTTGTTCACGTTGAGTAGTTCCAGCAAGATAGACGACCGCTGATGATCAATAGCAGGTAGCAAAGAACTGGATGAAACGAACACGCATGTTTTGGTTTCGTCTCTAGCAGTTGACGAACGACGCGACGAGGCAATCTTGGGACACGAGAGATGAAACTGCAGTATGCTATCTGAAGCAGATCCTAACGCAGCAAGAGCTCTGCTTCGAGCCCCCGAAAAATCCATACACCAACATTAGCATGTTGCTGTAATGGTCGAGCTGTACACATCTTACTAAGTCGTGTAGTTCACTTTTTCAAACATTAACAAGATAAGCACGCAGCTCAAGTGGACAGCCAGCCGAGCAGCAAGCCATCTCGAAATGTAAGACTAGTTGCTTCCAAGTGAGATTCTGGACGCGGTGTAGCGCTCGTGGCGGCGCGTGCAACACAAAAAGCACGCAGCATTTTGCTGCACCAAAAATGCAGGCTTAACGGAGAAGTCATTCTACATCGATTCGAGCGCGCTATTGCTACGCGTGAACGAATGCACACCGACACCTGGTCAGCAGCTACTATTTCTCTCGACTAAATAAAGCAAGAACCGGAGCAGACCAAGTAGTGATCATAAGGGGATCGGGAGGCCAAATGGAGCTGGAGACTTGCAGGTTCTTGTGGTTGGACTTTATCGATCGTTTTGTCAAGCAGTTCGTAACAGATGCAGATAGCCAGCCAGCTGTTAACGATGAGAGATGAGTGTTAAGTTCGCAGACGTGTTCGTACGACAAAAACAACCGTGAGCTCGTGCGACAATTTTATGTAGCCATGTCACATCGAATCTGTGTACCACTCGTGTGGCACATCCTCTCGACTCCGACAATAGGCGACGATGGCTGCTGTGCGTAACGAAGAGCCCGTTGCCGCCGCCAGAGCACCAGTGCTCCACATCAAGTACGATACGCTGCATCAATGAAGCTTCGTGATGCAGGCGTCTCTTCTTTTTGACGTGGTGTATCTGCCTAGCCATTGTTTTTCCAACAATTTTTGAAAAAATAGTCTAAATTTTAGAAATACGTGTACGAAACCTCTGGACTAACTGACGTTTGCTGTGTTTAGAAACTTTGTGTGCTCTGCTAATCTTGGCATGCGATTCGATTTGACCAATTTAATGGTCAAGTCGCTTCGACGGGCAGAGTTGGTACCGAAGAAAAACTGCATCTTGATGAAACTGCAGAACCCCAAGGCCACGGCTATGCTCTTTGCCAATGGCAAATTAGTCTGCACGGGCGCCGAGACAGAAGAAGGTATTAAGAATGCGGCTCGTCGATTTACTCAAGTGATCCAGAAGATGGACTTCCCAGGAGTCAATCTCATCGATTTCAAGATCCAGAATGTTGTAGGCACTTGTGACATGGGCTTTCGAGTGCTGATGGAGGCGCTTGCTTTCGCACACAGTGAATGTTGCACGGTACGAGTCGGATGTTTGCAGAATGTATGTGATTCTTTGTATACGAGTACTCATGCTGTATATTCTTTGCACTCATGCAGTACGAACCGGAGCTGTACCCAGCACTGATTTACCGACTGGAGAAGCCTCAAGTGAAAATTCTCGTGTTCGTGAGCGGGAAAGTAGTTTTTACGGACTCGAAGGAGCCACGAGAGCTGTATGCTGCCTGCGAAACCATTTTTCCGGTACGTTTTCTGCATGGTTGAGAGCACCGGGATGGGCAGCGTCGCTTATTTGAGTTTTGTTGTTACCAGATTCTTTGTCAGTTTAAGGACCTCAAGCCGATCAATCTGGGCAGTACTGATGGCAACGAAGATCTACCTGAGCATCGTCTAGCAACCAACACCGCCGATAAGTCACATATCGGCGACTAGAGGTTGTGCGCTGTTGTCTACGTCTCTACGTAACACGGAGGCTCTGCCGTGACCTTCTCCATCATTTGTTTTACCGCGGGTTTGCACAAATCACGCTACAATGGCTGACAAACCCGGCCCGTGGCTTGCAGAGGGGCTCGAGTCTAATGTAGTGAAATGGAGAATGAATATATTGAGGAGGAGTGTTAAACTTGGTAGGCTAGTCTGGTGTCATCATATCCAGTCTGGCGCAATCTTCTTTCGTCTGGCGCAATCTTCTTTCGTCTGGCGCAATCCAAGGATGGTCTCGCAGGTCATATCGATAGACAACCCATGTCATACTCCCCCCATGATCTGTGAGATTTAGCACGGAAAAATGCGGCGGATGCTCACACGTTCTGCCATTGCTCCCTTGTCGATGGTCACAGTGCCGTTGCTGTGAACTTGGCGGATAACAAAAGGTCCGGTTGCCACTGCGTGCAATTTTGCACGGAACTTCTTGGGGACGCGTAACATCACGTGGTCTCCCGTATTGTAGAAATGCTCGAGGCGTTTGCTATTCTCGCGGTCATTGTCGGCGAGAATTGCATCAAAACGACGCTTCGATAGATAGCTCCAGTTGGCGTTTGTAACGGGGTGAATCGTTACATAACAATTTATAAGAAATTGTTAATAGAATATAACTATAAGAGTTATATTCTCAGAATATTGTCATAAGGACAATATTCGGTAGCACTTCCAAGTAGTTCCTAATTGGTTGATATAGGCCATTATATCAACCAACGAAGACGCGCCACGACAGACGCACGCAATGAGTGGTGAGCAGATAACTGATTTACACATTTGTATTTAGACATAGTTAGATGAAGATAAATAGTGATTTATTGCAGACATTAACTATTATAAATACAGTTCTACTTTTTACTCTAACCGAGTACTCGCTTCTTCTTACCGTCTTCCTCTGCACGTACGAGTGTACGTGAAGTTACGAGGCACCGCCTTATTCCGTTATCAGAATAAGTAGCTTGTACTGTCACCAGTACAAGCTTCAGGGTGCCCCGTTACACCTGGTAGCACTTCGTAGTCCGTCCAAGGACCGCGTTCACATCCAACATGAATATGTTGGATGATGAAGATGACCAAAGCTTTCACGCTACGCGTGACGGCTACTCCCATTTGAGCGATGTCGAATGGGATGCGGTTGAACGAATGGGTTCGACCATGGGCATCCATGCTGTTAGCGTCATGCTAGAGGCTCTCAATAGAGATGCCCAACATGCTACTATCGCCAAGTTCATTCAAAATGAACTTGACGCAGAACGCGAGAAAGTAGCCTTGCTTCACCAACAAGGTTCTCAACAAGCAGAGTTGTTGAGAGAACAAGGTGCTCAACAGTTTGAACTGTTGAGACAGCAGCAAGCTGCTGCTGGCGGGTCGATGCACTCGCGTCGACCCGAGACTTTGAAGATTGACATCTCAAAGTATAGGGGGTCGAAGAAGACTCCCTCTTGAGATGGTTCGTCGAATTGGATGACGCCATAAGGGCGCGTCGCATCGACGACGGGGATATGCAAGTTGCATTTGCCCAGTCAAATCTGGCAGGACGTGCCAAGACTTGGGCACTGGGGCTCAAGCTGCACGACCCATACGCGTTTGGGTCGTTGGAAGTCTTCAAGTCGCGGCTCAGACAAACGTTTGAACCGCCTAGAGCTGAGTTCAGAGCTCGAACCGAACTCTTGAAGCTCAAGCAGGGTAAGCGTGATGTGCACGCTTACGCTCAACATATACGACATCTCACGAGTTGTATAAGTTCCAATCCGGTGGATGAACACACGTTGGTTTCGGTGTTCATGCAGGGTCTTGCGGATGGTCCCGTCAAGACTCACCTGTTCCGGCTTGAACTAGATTCACTAGAACAAGCCATTTCAATTGCGGAGCAGGAAGACTTCAGTCTGAGACAGGCTCGCGCCAGCTCGACATCATATCGTCAACCGAGACGATATGACAACGGAGGTCCAGAGCCGATGGAACTCTGTTATGTAAGAGAGCGAGAAGGCTCGCTCTACAGGCTACAAGAAGTTGCAGAGATGCAACAGATGTCAAAAGACAGGACACTACGCTTACGAGTGTAGTGCCCCTCGTCCAGTGTCTCGCGACACTGGGCGTAGTGACCGTCCACCCATGAGAAAGGGGCAGGGACGAGGGTCCGCAGTTGGTGCAAAGACGCAACAACGGGATGGACCGTCAAAAAAACGGACAGGATCAGTAGGTGCGGAGCACCCTACTGATCCAGCAACGTCAAGAGAATTTGTAGGCCTCTTGATGAAGGTTGCTCCCAACACACAGACATTGTGCGTTGCTGCTCTAGGTAATGAGATCTCACTCATTACCTTGAAACTCGAAGTGACGAATAAGTTGTCCCTTCGAGCTCTAGTCGATTGTGGGGCGTCCAACAATTTTGTGCGACGCCAATCGCTAGAAGATGGTCACTTTAAATTCAGTGAATGTGACACACCTCCTACGAGGATGACGGTACGTCTTGCGACAGGCGCATCCGTAACCGTCATGAAGCGTATAGTGAAGATTCACTATACGCTAGAAGATACCCAATACGACGATGACTTTATCGTATTGGATTTGGATGACAAATTTGATGTCATCCTTGGAATACCGTGGCTCAGAAGGTACGAACCACGGGTAAACTGGCAACATCGGACAGTAACGATGCCTGCCGCTTGTTCATCAGATGGCCATCTGATGAACGTTTTGGAGCGTCCACAAGCGTGTGGATGTACTACGAGTGAGTGCGATGGCCTCACTTGTGGTACGGTCGTTAGTACGACTGCACAAAACCTTAGTGTACCAAACGGTTACACTTCGGAGCAAAGTTCCGGCGGCTGTGAGGAAACACAGGCTGCGCCGAAGGTCCACCACTCGAATAAGTCGGGTGGACTGGGACAAAGATGTATTCCTAGAGGGGAACATCTAGAAGAGAAACAATCGATCGCTCAGGTTAAGCGAAACGATAATCCTAGATCGACTGGAGAGTCTTTCGTAGAGGATCTCGCTGTGGTTGCGCAACCCCAGCTAGAGGAAGTAAAGGGAATAAGTCCCAAGATTACAAATACGGCGGAAATAAGTTCCCCGAAACCCGCGGGAATAAGTCCCCGGGAAGACGAAGGAATAAGTCCTTCGAAGCCTGAGGGAATAAGTCCCCAGGAAATGACAGAGACATTGAATGTCATAGTCAATAACGGATCATGTGTAGGCGCTTATACACTTGATCTGATTGCGCCTCCGAAGTTAACTTCGGAGATCACTCAGTTGCCAACGCTCGAACATAAAAGGTTCTTGCGTGATCTGCGTAGTGGCAAAGTCAAGCAGATCTGCATACTCGTCGCTGAAGACGAGTATGTAACCGACATAAGGTCAGCAACAGTGTTTACTGAGAACGAGAGAGTTCTCAGTAGTTCATCTATGGACGAGAGTGTCCTAGATGAAAAGACACGAATTGAGCGATATGAGTCCCAATCATGGGAATCGCTCAAGGAAAATCCTCTCTATGAAGATTTGGTTGAATTCAAGGATGTATTCCCTGAAACTGTTCCGTGCGAATTACCGAAGGATAAAGGTATTCGACACGAAGTCGAGCTTAAACCAGGCTCGAAGTACTGTGTCATGAAGCAGTGGCCACTGCCTCGTGAACAAGTACTTGCGATCGACAAGTTCTTTGCCGATCGTTTAGCAGCGGGCCATGTGAGGGAATCAACTTCCCCACATAGCTCTCCGACCTTCTGTGTGCGAAAAGCAACAGGAGGGTGGCGGATAGTGCACGCGTTTAACAAATTGAACGCTGCAACGGTACCGGCTCAGACGCCGATACCGAGGAAGGACGTAATCATTGATGGTATGTCAAAGAGTACCATCTTTTCGTCCATGGATTTGATGGATGGCTTCTATCAAATCCTAATGCGGGAACGGGATATACCCTATACCGCAGTTAGCACGCCTAGCGGCATGCTCTGGGAATGGCTAGTAATGCCACAAGGGCTCAGTAATGCCCCTGCCACGTTCAACAGATGTGTATCACATCTGTTGAGACCAGTACGAGAGTTCGCGCCGAGTTATTTCGATGACGTATTCATCCATAGTCGAGCTATGGATGGAAAGTCGGACGTTGAGGTTCACAGGTACCACGTCCGACAAGTTCTTACAATCATGCGAAAGCATCAATTGTATGCTAACCTCAAGAAGTGTATATTTGCAGCAAGCGAAATACCACTTCTTGGGTGCATCGTTGGTAAGAACGGTGTACGTCCTGATCCCGAAAAGATCAAGGCGATCACCGACTGGCCTGTGCCGGTCGATGTCAAAGGTCTTCGAAAATTCCTTGAGCTAGCGGCGTATTTGCATAAGTATTCACGCAATTACGCCGAGATGACTGTACACCTCTCTCGTTTGTTGAAAAAGAACGAGAGGTGGTTATGGAACGCTGAATGTCAACGCTCCTTTGAGGGTATCAAGCAGAGCTTGATACAATCCCCAGTCCTAGCAATAGCCGATCAGGACAGGCCATTTCATGTGGTCTGTGATGCCAGCGATTTCGCAATCGGCTGTGCATTAATGCAGTACGACCTTGAAGGCGTTGAACGCGTCGTCTGCTATCAGTCGCGTCAGCTGCAACCAGCTGAGCGGAACTATCCAGTGCATGACAAGGAACTCCTTGCCATGAAGTATGCACTCGCGAAGTTCAGAGTCTATCTATTAGGAGATAGACCCTTCGTTGTTTACACTGACCATGCGTCCTTACGCACGGCAGTGAACAGCCCGCACCTTTCACAACGAATGGCGCGGTGGTTGTCATTCTTTGCAGAATACAACTTTACGGTCGAGTACAAACCAGGACGACTTAATGTCGTCGCTGATGCACTCTCACGTCGTCCCGACTTTGAAACAGTCGCGAAACCCAACAGTGAGACAGTCACTGTTGCGGTTATGACGTCCTCAGTCCCATCTACAATGTTGTATGATGATGTGAGGCGGGCATACGCCCAAGATGGTGAGATAGTGAAGTTGTTGTCACATCTCTCCCAACCATCCCGAGAATCGTTGAAACGATTGTCGTTCTGCGTATCGATCTGCATCAGATCGATACACTACTCGTAACGGTTTACTGTATTATACAGCCGTTTCTGGTGACACACCACGTGTTGTCATTCCAGATGATACTGATCTGCGTTTGCGGATCATGTTCGAGTATCACGATGCTCCTATAGGAGGACATCGTGGCCGAGAGAAAACATATCTCACGGTAAGTCGAGACTTTTACTGGCCCCGCCAGTATCAGTTTGTGCGAAAGTATGTTCGCGCATGCGAAGTCTGCCAACGAGTGAAGTCAAGTCCTTCACTGCGTGCACCTTTACAGCCTCTACCGGTTCCGGCTGAGTGCTGGGAATCCATCTCAATGGATTTCGTCTTCGGGTTACCCAAAGACGCACGCGGGAATACGGGTATTCTCGTATTTGTTGACAGATTCAGCAAAATGGTACACCTTGTGGCTGTACCAGAGACAATCACGGCAAGTGGCTGTACTTGTGTCTTTATTGACACCATCTTCCGACTTCATGGGTTGCCCCGTGAACTCGTATCAGACAGAGATCCACGATTCACTGCTGATTTCTGGCGTTCCGTGTTCAAATCACTCGGAACGCGCTTGAAGATGTCAACATCTGATCATCCAGAGTCGGATGGTCAGACGGAACGTGCCAATCGTGTCCTTGAAGAGATACTTCGAGGATACGTACACTCCTTTAAGAGTTGGAGTGAGTTTTTGCCAATGGTAGAGTTTGCCATCAACAACTCGGTGCATGCGTCCACGACACATACACCGTTTTACGTGAATGGCTTGCGCCATCCGCGTATACCCACCTTACTAGAGTGTAACTCTGGTTTAAGGGGGGGAGGGTCTCGCGCGAGCAAAAACCGATTTGGTTCATGCTCATCACGCTCTGACGAAGAAGTCATTGCGTTTGATGCCGATATCGATAACATCGATATCGAAGAAGATGATGCCAGTGAGAGTGCGGAAGCCCTCACTGAAGACAATGATCCCAGTGAGAGTGCGGAAGCCCTCACTGAAGAAAAGGTTGTTGTTGCTGCAGTGCGCTCACAGCACACTGAAGCTAACGAGTCATCAGATGAGTTCATACTGGCTCGTGAAACGGTAGTCCGTTTTGTGCAAGACTCCATCGCCGAAGCGGTGGATAAGCAAAAGCAAAACGCTGACAAGAATGGAAGGGCAAACTCTCTTTTATTTAATAAAGGTGACTTAGTCCTACAGTCTACGGTTAATCTACCAAAGCATGTAGTGACTAACTTGGGTAGCAGTAAACTACTACCCAAGTACATTGGCCCATTTCGTGTATTGCACCGCCGAGGCAATGCATACACGATCGAGTTGCCACGTAAGATGCGAACGCATCCCACGTTTTACGTTGGTCGGCTTAAGCCGTACCATCAGTACGCTGCTTCTTCCGATGAAGAACGCCCTTGCGCTCAAGCATCTCGCAGAGAGCCTTGTGCTCCCGATGGTGGGCATCAACAAGGGACTGAAGAGCAGCTATCTCATCCCGAGACCGATCAGCCATCCCACGAGCTACCCTTAGCTCGTCACGAAGAGATGTCAGAGATCTCTCGTTCTCAAGCTGAGCAAAGGCAAACTCAGCTCGATGCTTCGAGGCAGTGTCCACCATCTGGAGACGCCTATTCCGCTCATGCTCGAGATCGTCGCGTAACCCTTGCGTTACGCGATCAAAGAAGCTCTCGGGAACACACCGATCCACATGATCGTGTGGAGAGCGTCTTTCCTCCTCCTCCACCTCCATTAGAGGACTCTCGCGGTGGCCAGCGCTATCTAGTAGAGCAGCTGTTGAACCACCGCGACGTGAACGGACGTCGGACGAGTTACCTCGTCCGGTGGCGCGGCTATCCCCCGTCCTGGGATTCTTGGGAGCCCCGCTCCCAATTGATGGTTGACGTACTGGGTCTGGTCGAGCAGTACGACGCGACACATCCTGTGCCGCAGAAGGACCGCCGGAGAAAGTCTTCCCGGCACGGTCGTAAAGGGATTTCAGGTTGTCAATCCCTTCGTACATCTCAGTAGAGACACGTACGCGCCACCACGGGCTGGTAAGGAGGTAAGCCTCCTTAGGTGCTCGTGCAGAGTTGTTCACACAACATGGGCACGAGTCTCCCCAAGAGAGGCAGGGTAATCCTTTCTCCCTTGACAGACGATGCAGCTTGTAGCGTGCACCTGTCGGGGTTCGCTTTTCAAACTTATCACGAGCTTTGATAAGTTTGTCGTTCCAAGCGTCACGACCTACATCCTCGAGATTATGGATGTAGGCGTTCCACGCCTGAAGTAGTGAGGGACCATCACGTTTGTGATTCCCACTGTACCATCGATGTCTGAAGAAAGCATCGATGAAGAACTCATGTTCAGCGCGATAGTCTTTCGCGCTGGGGTCAAGGTGATGGATCCTTGACGAATCGAACAATCGTGTTCGATAACGATCACTCGTCGTCGCCGACAAGTGATCCATGACGGATTTAGGAGGCATCCATGCCTTCTTTTCTGGAGCGAGACGCAACACATTGCGGTCCCGCTCTTCCTGCGACGTGCCGACAGAAGTACTGGCACCTCGCTGTGAAGTGGTGTCCATAGGAGAACCGACACCACTATTAGCGCCCGAGTCTCGCGACCTCGAGCGCCTTCGCTTCGGCGATGGTTCATCTGACTCATCAGATGAACCAAAGATGCTGCGACGCAAAGCATCGTCCATGCCACGCTTGGCAGGCGGCTTGGATTCAATTGCCGTCGATACGGATCCGTCATCCGTATCAGGAGAGTACGAGACACCGAGCTCGTACTCTGTGAAGACACGAGTGTCTTCATGACCAGCGCCTGCATCACCAGGTGATACAGGCTGAGTCGATTCAGCAACCGATGGGACATCAGTTGCTGTAGTTTCTGCTTCGGCGTCCGCACAGAGACGTGCAGACGCGCTCTCGGCGGCCTTGCTCGCGCATCGCATGGGCTTGTTTACCATGCGATGAGATGTTGGAAAGTGGACGCGGACCAACAAGTGCAAACCCCGTCCCAAATGATTTGGGACGAGTATCCATTTAGTCAATCAGTCACTAAAGTGACTGATGGTTAAGGGGGGTGATGTAACGGGGTGAATCGTTACATAACAATTTATAAGAAATTGTTAATAGAATATAACTATAAGAGTTATATTCTCAGAATATTGTCATAAGGACAATATTCGGTAGCACTTCCAAGTAGTTCCTAATTGGTTGATATAGGCCATTATATCAACCAACGAAGACGCGCCACGACAGACGCACGCAATGAGTGGTGAGCAGATAACTGATTTACACATTTGTATTTAGACATAGTTAGATGAAGATAAATAGTGATTTATTGCAGACATTAACTATTATAAATACAGTTCTACTTTTTACTCTAACCAAGTACTCGCTTCTTCTTACCGTCTTCCTCTGCACGTACGAGTGTACGTGAAGTTACGAGGCACCGCCTTATTCCGTTATCAGAATAAGTAGCTTGTACTGTCACCAGTACAAGCTTCAGGGTGCCCCGTTACAGCGTTATAAAGCTGACGAGTGATCATATCTTGACCGAAGAGTAGTTGACCTGGGGAAGCATTAAGAATGCTGTGGTAGCTTGCTCGCACGGCGAATGCAGCGTAGTGAATGGTTTTCTTCCAGTCAGTGCCATCGTGGCACCTGATGACATTTAAAATCTCGAGGTGAACGCGTTCACAAATAGCGTTAGCTTGAGGGTTCTTGCTTGTTATAGGCTTGGCTTGTATCCCGTAGCTGCGGAGCAATTCTTGAAACTCATCACCAGTGAATTCCGTTCCTAGGTCGTGTATAACCGTTACAGGACGCGGGTAGCGGCACAGCCATTCACGATCGAAGCTTTCGGCTGTGGTCAGCGAAGTTTTGTCGTGCTGAATACCCACTTCCAGCCAACGCGTCGCATGGTCAATCATGGTAATACCGTAGTGTCCGTCTTCGTAGGGACCAATGAGATCGACATGAACGGTGTAAAAGGGGTTCACCGTCTTGAGTGTTCGTGGTGGTAGTAATCCATAGTCCTGCTTGCCTCCGTGGACCTTTGCCTTCTTGCAAATTAGACAATCTTTCGCATTCTTGATGATCGCGGCTTCCATTCCGGGCCAGTAGAGAACCTGCCTCATTGTCTTGTACTGTCGTTCACCGCCAGGGTGACTGAGCGTTAAATGATACCAACGAATGAGATCTTCTCGCAAGCTATCGGGCACGATGACGCGCTTTTGGTACGCGACCAGCGTGCAGCCGAGTAGAGGTAGAAGCTGATAGTCAGGATTGTTGTTGCCGTTGAGGCAAGCTGTCTTGATTTTTTGAATCATCAAGTCCTTATCTTGATGTTCGCGAAGAACCGGACCATGCATGACACAATCTGGTTCATCAGCGGTAGCGCATATCTCGTCCGCGAGCTGCAAATGAGTCTTCGTGTTCATCGCATCGAATCTCATCCGGGAAAACGCATCAGCACCAACATTCTTTTTTCCCTTGATGTAATGCATCGATAGCCTGTACTCAGCCAACAGGAGCTTCCAGCGCTTAACGCGCAGGCTGGTTTCGGTCGGATAAATTAGGTTCTTATGGTCGGTGTGAACAACCACAGGGAACCCGAGCAGCATGGTGCGGTATTCGCGCAGCATTTCAACGATAGAGAGGAGCTCAAGCTCCATCGTTGTGTAATTCACTTGATGCTTGTTGAGACTTCGGGAATAGCAGGCGAGAATCTGGTTCTTCTGCATAATGATGCCACCGATTTGCTTTCCGCTGGCATCGGCGTAGACGTGAAATGGTTGCTCAAAGTCAGGAAACGCGAGCAGTACGGCTTGGGCAAACGCTTTCTGGATAGCGTGAAATGCTTCCGTGTCGCTAGACAACCAGTCGAACGGGACTTTGGAGCTGGTGAATCGGTTGAGAGGTTGGCACAATGCCGTCTTGTTGGGTACCATATCTCTATAGTAATTAATCATTCCGAGGAAGCGGCGTAGTTCCTTCCTGGTTTTGGGGACGGAAATTTGTTGGATGGCTTGAATCTTCTTTTGTTGGGGCTGGATCCCTTGAGATGTCAGCGTAAAGCCGAGATAGTCGACGGACTGTCTGAGGATGTGGCACTTCTTTCCGTTGAGAGTTACCCCATACTTGGTTAGTCGCTTGAACACAATGTGTAGGTGCTCTAGGTGCGTCTCTTCACTATCGGAGTAGACGAGTATATCATCCAAATAGACTACGACAAAAGCCAGATCGCCAAAAATCTTCTCCATGCAGGCTTGGTATTCGTCCGGTGCTGTAGAAATGCCCATTGGGAGTCGTTTGTATTGATACTTCCCGAACGGAAGACAGAAAGCTGTGTGACCACGGCTTGAGGCAGCAAGGCGACGCGCGTAATACCCCATATTAGCATCGAATGTTGACAGATACTTGGCTCCTGCGAGACGCAACAGGATCTCGCGTATACGTGGGACGTAATAAGGGCTGCGTTTCAGATATCGGTTGAGTCCGCGAAAATCTATCAGTAGACGAAGTGATCCGTTGGGCTTCTTGAGAAAAAAAAGCAGGCGATGCCATTTCTGAATCAAAAATCTGCTCCAGCACGTCGATGCTGACCAAATGCTGGATGAGCTCTCGAGCCTTGTTTTCGAGGCTTCTTGGGACTGGATAAGGTTTTGCGTGTACAGGCTTGTACTCCGGCACTATTGGTAGAGCGTAGTCTTCGAATCTCATCCTCCCCAAGTGACCGTCATAGAGATGCTCGTTATCGCGAAGAAGCTGGAGATATTTGCCGACGAGTGGCTTGGATAGCCTGTCTGGCATGAGGTCTTCTGGTCGCACTGCAGTGTTATCGACTTCTTTGCTCTCTTCGGGGAATTCATAATCACTTGCGTTGGGAGACGATGACCCGCCGGTGTTTAAATGTGTATCGTGACCATCCCACTGAACCAGTTTGTCTTTAAAATTGAGCACGATTCCTAGTTCATTCAGGATATCACGACCGATCACCATGGCATCCTGGCTCTGATCCAGAATTTCGAACTTGTGCGTGATTATGGTCGAAGGCTGGAGAGACGGAAAGCGGAACTGTACAATCGTACTACCAGCACTAGCGACTTCTCCGTTGACCGTCTGAAACTTTGTCGCCGACTCGACTTGTCTATGCCCAAGCTGAGCATTGGCTCGCATAGTTTCTTGGTTGATTATGCTCCGCGAAGCACCACTGTCTAGCAGGGCATTGAAGGTGCCACTCGCGTCTTTGAATTGTACCGGGATCCGGAGTGGGGCGAGCTTGGCGCTCGGTTGCTTCTTCTTGACAAGGCCGACAAGCTTAAGCTCGCTGTCGCTGTCACTGTCGCTTGCCTCTTCCTCTTCGAATCTTGGGTAGTTACTCTTTTTGTGAGCAGTTCGTTTCGTCTCGGCAGGCTTGTGCTCTTCGCGTTGCTTCTTGAGGGCAAAGCATTCGCTGGAATCGTGCGAGCTTGATTTGTGGAATGAACACCACTTGCCGTGTTCTTGGTGACGGTCATGCTTCTTCTTGCCGCCTTGTACACCAGGTCGGTCTCGATGATCTTGACGCGTGTCGCGATGCTCGCGAGGGTTGCGCCGATCTCTGCGCTGGTCAGCGGTAGGGCGTTGTTGGTCGCGTCGACCTTGACCCTTTCACCACCCTGGGTAGCTGGACCATTTAGGCGATCCCGGCCAGTCTGCCTCTCGCGCCTTTCGAGGCGCTCGAAATACATCGCCAGTTCGTTCACCGTCTCATACGAAATTCCGCAGCACGCGAGCTTGTCCTGCCAGTGCGGCGGCATGGCGCGGCGAAAATATCGACATTGTTGAAGCTCTGAGATGGTTTGCGAATCCTGGGGCAACTCGGCGTACATCTGTGCAAGCTGTCTTAGCCGTGCCGCGCAGCGTTGTACCGTCTCTTCTCTGCGCTTGGTGAGTGTCCATAGTTCTTCATCCAGGTCTTCACAGTAATCCGCTGGGACCAGAAGAAGTCCAACCTCCCGGTAAAAGTCTTCAAATGTCAGGCCTTTGCTGGAAGCATCGCTGGCAATGCGCTCTACTTCGCGCAACAGATCACCGTCAATCAGCGTAAGAAGTTGAACGGATAGTTGATCAGCTCTCCAGCCTTTTCGTTTCGCGAGGCTTCGAAACTGCATGCTCCATGTGAGCCAGTCCTTCGATGAACCACCGCGAAAGCGCTTTATCTTCATTGTGGCGACGTCAGCTGGTGAAGTCGCACTTTCTTGGCACGTCACGATGGTGTAAGTGACGTATTCATCCTCATTCCGTCCCATGATGATGGCGACGGGATTCTCGTACGGGATGAGATGTGACTAAGTTAGCCAAATTTGATATATCAAAATGACAAACCCGGCCCGTGGCTTGCAGAGGGGCTCGAGTCTAATGTAGTGAAATGGAGAATGAATATATTGAGGAGGAGTGTTAAACTTGGTAGGCTAGTCTGGTGTCATCATATCCAGTCTGGCGCAATCTTCTTTCGTCTGGCGCAATCTTCTTTCGTCTGGCGCAATCCAAGGATGGTCTCGCAGGTCATATCGATAGACAACCCATGTCATGGCAGTATCGCGGTTGCTGTCGACTCGGATGGCAAAGATTGGCTAAACTGGTATCGCAATTGTCCTTGATTATTTAAAAGCTCATGGAAACTTTTGTCACAGTCGTGACAATGCGATGAGGACGGAATACATCTACGTCGGAGTCAACTTGGCATCGTTACAGGCGCTACCCCTGCCCTTCGTTGTAATCCGTTCTGTAATGGCAGTTGCTAAAGCTGATCGCTGGATATGAATGAAGCTGATTACAGTAGTCAGCACCTCGCAGGAAAACAGCGTTTTAAGTTGTCGTTCACATTGGCTCAGTAAGCCATCGCTTTACTACACTAGACATAGATGTTGTGGGCTGCCAGCTCCAAAACAAAGCGAGATTGCAGTCAGTCTCGATGAGGATTCGATTACCAGATAGTGCATGAATGTCGTGGCTCTACCGCCGCTGCAGCCCTCAGATTACATGTCATGCTACAAGGTGCCACAGCACCAAACCGTGTTGAGATGATTGTGGAGTTTCCAATTACTGCACAGACCAGACAGGCAACGCTGCTGCTTTTTAACTGGAATAATACCAACATATACGTTGCATAGCGAGTGAGCAAATTCCGACAGTACCTGCTGATAAAGTGGCGTTCCTACTGATTACTTTTAGCTTGTTCACGATGTTGACAAAGCATGCGCGCTACTTGATTTTAGCGGCGTTGGCCTCCGGAAGTCGCTCGATCACATATTTGCGGTTCGAAATATACATGATGGGCACGCCAGGAACCTTACGGATGCGGCGCTTGAGCTCGCGATCACACGTCGCAACGACGTAGCAGCGATGCTGCTGCACACGCTGCAGGAGGCAGTCGTCGGCGTACGTGCCCTTGTGTGTGCAGGGCAGTCGTTCAAAACGCGGATATTTTGCTAGACGCAGCGCCACGCGATACTTTTGCCCAAGCTTCTCCAGTTCTGCCATCACGCAGTCGGTGATGCACGGAACGCCTGCACGTGTACCAAAGCGGTTGCCAATGAGAAAATCAGTCTACAAAGAACAGCTGGAGATGCATCCCCGTCATGCCGAAAAGCACACTAACACTTGGCGAGCAGACAGTCCATCATGGCCGAGACGACCTCGAGCTTGTTCTTGATCGAGAAATTGATGAAGTTCGTATCCACAATAATATTATACGGCGGACCCAGCGCCGAGTTGTACTTGAAAAACATATTGGACGGCACCTGGTCACTACGAGAAGCCCGGCACGATACAATAGCAGCAGTTACTATCCAGTCTTTCTCTCCATGTCACTTGGCACTACTTACATCTGCTTCGGCTCTGCTGCCTTGCGCTTCTTTTCTTCCGCTTGTTCAACCGCTTTTCGCACTGAATTACTGCAAGTGGATACCAAATAACAGTCACGACTCAAGCGCGTACTCCCAACCACCAGAAAACGTCGTACATGCGCGTGTCACGAGGACTGATCATGCGCTTCACCGCTGCGAACTTGCGTGTCTTTTTCGTTTTCCCCTATTGCAACCACAAGCATTGGTACGCGTCGTCAGTCCAAGCCACAGTCCTGCCGCCATGCTCGTCGACATCTTGGAGCTTACCATGGTCTCGCGTCGTTTGAGCTCTGCGAACCACTGCCTTGGCCTGAAAAGATGTGGTCCACCTCGATCTCCTCTATCGCATCGGAGTGGTGTGTATACCTTGTTACAGTACTCTAATTGAATTATTCCCCATGGCGGTCACGGCCTTTGACCTGGAGGAAGAGAAGGACGAGGGCCATTTCGACGCGAATGGGAACTTTGTATGGGACGACGAGGCCCGGAAACAGGAAGAGGCGTGGCTAGAAGACGTGTCGGAGCAGCAGATCGGTGCAGCGAAGCACGCTAAGAGCCAGCGCGAGTTTCGCGACGAGCAGACGGAAGAGACGCTAACGATTGAGGCGGCTGAACAGAAGCTCGCGACGTTGTTAAAGCCCCGGGAGACGGTGTTACAGGCGCTTAAGCGTCTTGGTACCAAGAAGAAGAAGAAGGCGCGTGCCCGTGTTGGATGCAAGCGCAAGCAGCGAAAAGAGATGGAGACTCCGACAGAGACTCCGGCAGAGACTCAGACGGCAGAGACTCAGACGGCAGAAGAGAAGGAGCAGTTTAATCAGATTACTGAGGCAGCTGACTTTCTGTTGCGGTCAGGGGAGGTGGACGTATACAGTCAGATCAAGGAGGAGTTTGTATCGGATGAGGAGTTACTGGCACAACGAAGACAGGTGCAGTTTGTTGATACTGACACGAGTGAAGAGAAGAGCGAGCCTCGTCTTGTGTCAAAGCAAGAGATCATGTGGGAGTACAAAGCTGATGATGGACATATTCACGGACCTTTTCCGATGTCTAGCTATGTGGCTTGGCGGCAGCAGGTGAGTGGATTCGAGCGGAAAAAATGCTAGATCAGTTGCTGTTGACTTTGGTGATGAAGGGCTGAGAGGATGATGCTTTGTTGTTTCTTGCAGGGATACTTCACGGGAGAGACAGCTGTCGACATGCGGCAGGTACTATGCGGTAGTGACGCTGTTGTCGCAGTAGAGCCAGCACAGAAGAAGCTGAAGCAGCAAGAGGATGAAAAGGTTTCAGCTGAGCAAGAGATGCTTGACGATTTTGAGGACAGCGACAACGATGACAACGCTGAGTCTGCTGCTGATGGTGACAAGGCAGAAACGAACAAGATGCCATGGATGCGGTCAGATGAGATTGACTTTGGCTCCTTTTAATTCGCGCTGGAATGCCGGGAATGAGCTCTGGCTTGCTGGATAGAACAGGTGTCATGAGGACGAAAAGGCACTACGATGCAAACACGTTGCCAGCAATCGTAGACGACTAGTCGTCTTTCTTACAGTGTGAACCAGTGTCAGCGCTGAACTTGTCTGTCGTGTCGCGGGAACTCCGCCGCCTCGGAGATTCTTGGCTGTGACGGGAGCGCGTGCTGTGGTCTCGTACAGCCAAATCTGTGTCCAGGTCGTCGTTCTCGCTTGATTCTGAGTCGCTTGCCATCAGTGGGTATGTGCTACACACAGCAACAGGAGATGAAAAAGTGAGCTACTTTCCGTCGCAACAGCGAGACGACGTTTCGTCTCTCACCTCTTGGGGTCGCTGCTGGAAGCGGTGCCGTTGCGTATCTGGAAGCGCGTGTACATATCGTACATCTTTTCCTTCATGGCTATACATCGGTGCAGTAACAACAAGTGAGCCCAGCGTTTCAACAGTTTTACATCGGAGACGAGTCTATTGCTCACCTTCGCTCAAGGACGTGATTTTCCCTCTCATGGCCGTGTACGTCTGACTGGCGATCTCCACCGGTGATTTGTCAAGTGGATACGAGCGCGACGACCCCATCACTCTGCCATCCTGGAAGTGCGTTGAGAACTCGTTACTGGATAAAACCTCGCTACGGAAGAGCTGGTCCTGCAGCATACGTGCTAGATCGGCATCGCGCTCCTCCTGCTCGGACAAGACGCGGTCGTCGTCCGATGGCAGCTGTAAGAAATCTACAGGTAACTGGACCCGACCACGATGTTCATTTGCGATAGGAGATGGTGGAGACGGCAGCGGATGGCGCTCTCGATGCGATTGAAACACTGATATCTGGTCGTGAACTGGTGGAGGCTGAGGGGGTTGTGTCCCTTCTGTACCGGGCATTGCGTCCATGGTCAGCAGAGTGTCCACAGTGCGCTCGATATTCCCCTGATGCGTCTCTAGCAATTCCTCGAGCACTTCGACGTCCCAGGACGGGAACATGCCGCACAGGGCGGACAGCGCCGGACCAGAGCTCTCGGCCATGTTGGCGCGAGGTTTCGAAGACGTAGGTTTGGTGTTTGGTATTAATTGTCGCAGGATTCGCTAGGACGCTGGATTAACAACTGGGATCAACATGGACTGTGATTGGCCAATGGTGTTTGTAGCGTGACTTTTGCTGAAATAGTGAAATTTGAATATTCGTTTTGGGGACTTCCAGCACTTGTGTGATTATCATCACTCTGACTACTTCATGCTGCTACTTTCGATCGCGTGGCAAACAAAAGATGATGAAAGCGACGCGCGTGTGCACGGCGCTGGTGGTTGTGTTGCTGTCGATAGGGAGCCCCGTGCAGGCCAGGCCCAAGTCAAAACCTGGCAGCACCTGTCTCTCATCTGGCATGCTCAAGTTTGACCCACAGTCGCATCCCTCGCAACGCGTACGTCGCCAGAATGCACTGCTCATGTCTTTTCAAGCGCTGCGCTGAGTGGGCTAACTATCGTATTGCATTGTGTTCCATGCATGTGTCACGGTCAACCAGACCAATGGCATGGAAGTATGCAGCAAGTACCGCACAAGCACGTGCTGCAATGCCACGCATGCGCATTCTCTTCGACTGTACGTGAAGTGAGACGTGGATACTTTTTGGTATTGCGACAGCACCTCAAGCTCTTTGTTGTGTGTTGCTAAATGACGAACAGGAAGATCCGGGAGCCAGTAGTGGCTAAGTTCAGCTCCATGTGTCAAGCCCTGACGGAGGAAATGACTTGTGCGTCGTGCCATCCGCTTATGGGTACAGGGGAGATGAAAAACGTGTGCCCGAGGTTGTGTGACAGGTGGTTCAATGCCTGCAAGGACGAGTACTACGCATACGGTGGAGCTGGTGTTTTATCTCCATGCTATGGCAACGCACTGGTGTGCTCACCACTTAAAGAGATCGCTGGCTCTGGTGCTGAATTCTGTGTTCATATGGGTTTCCACGTGGGCAGCGACGTCGACATTGACGGTACCGACTGTTTTGACGGATCTGTTCCTGAGCAATTGGGTGAACCCGAACCGACTGAACCGACACAACCGTGGCAAGTGCGTCTGCAGCGTATGCTGGAAGAAGAGGCGGAAAATCCGTCAGGACTCTTCATCACTGGGGTCCTTCTTCTCATCTCCATGATGTTGATGGGACGCAGGATCATGAGACAGCTCGGAGATCCATTCGGAGGTGACCAGCCCAGCCTCATGGAAGTTCGACGCTTGCAACAGGAACGCTATGAACGCGGCGAACGAATGTACGACGATGAGACAGACAGTAGCAGCGACGAAGAGTTCGCGTCGCGGCCAGCAGCAGACCAAGAGGATGATGAGGGTGGTGACAACGCTCCAGTGTCGATATAAATGGCTCACCCCTCGTGTGCTCTGTGGCTTGCTTGATAGCATGTCACCACATCGAGAGAGTCTAGACATCCAGGCCATTACAGCTGGCAATGTCTCTGCTGCCTATCGACATTCGAGCTTTACGTGTCATCCTGTTCGTTCAGCAATCAACTTACACAAAGCAACAGGGACTTCGCACCGACGCCTGCATTCATTATTCACTGGCGGTTTTCGGTGCAAACCTTCTCGCAGCACCTGCATTCACCCACCTATCCACAACGCCCGTGGTCCGCTCTTCTCCCAAAACCAAACAAGATCTAGTGCTGGTTCTTCAGCAGCTCCACGCGAGTCTTCCACTCCTCGTACTGGCACTTCTCGTAGGCATGGCGCAGGTCCTGGCACTTCCACGGAAGAAAGAACGTCTCCCGTCGGCACTCATTCAGAGGTATCAGCAAGCCTGCACACGTATCGCGATAGTGCAGCGGCACCTTCGCGTCAGCCATCTCTTGACGCGTGGGAATGCGAGGAGCTACAGATTTGGTAGACAAAGTGTGTTGACCCAGCACAAAGCCATCGGGTGCCAATGACACGAGCACACACAGAGACGTTAATGAGCACATGAACACAACAAAGCGATTGCACAGAGATATCGTGTCGTTGGATACGCTGCTTAGCGGTCGAATGCCGCCACGCACCTTCGTAGTGACCGCCGCTCATGCTTTTTGACGCTTTTCGCTTTTTGCTGCTCCTCTCAGTAGGTCTCTAACGTGATTCGATAAAAAACGATGACATATTTGGTTTCTACCAATCATATTACGGACCAGGCTCTTTGATTCAGATAAAATGACCAGCCAATCAACATGCGATCCGGATAAACCGTCGGACATTTAGGATGGCCAGGAACAGCACTGAGCCGGCGCCTGTGCTGCCAATGGAGTTGCTGCACGACCACAAGGCCGTGGGTGCCAGGGTGCGTGTGGTCACCAGATTCCAAGAGGTCTTTGAAGGCTCTATCTTCGCGCTGGACCCTCTCGCGCACTTCCTCGTGCTCGGTGCGTTTTCCGGTAAATTTCCTAAGGAGCAGCGCTTTTTTCTTGAAACTCATATGTTTTTGATCAAATTTCTGAAAATAGAAGAGAAAAATGGCGCCAAGAGCAAAACACGGATCTTGCAACTCGAGATACTGCAAAAGGTCGAGATATTGAGTCCTGCTCCGGCCGGCTTGCGGCTGACCCTGCCTCGAATCAGCGAAGCAGAACTGAAGCGTGCAGAGCATCGAAACAAGGGGGTAGCAGAGCGAGCGTTGGCTTCTATTGGTCAGGGCGTGTCTAGTGAAGCTCAACTGATCTTCGATGCTCTGAACAAGACGTACGACGGTAGTCGCAGCATTGCTTCGGTTTGTTCGACAAGATAGGCTGACCTCGTGTGGTGTGATGTTCATGAAGGATGCCGTGTGAGTGGGAGGGTGCCAACATTCGAGTCATGGGTGAGGTCAGGATTACACCACCGTACCAAGTGCAGAATTGCGTCAGTGCGAACGCTCAAGTGCTCTCGCGGGTCAAGAAAGTGGTAAGTAAGGACTGTTTGTCTCTGCGTCTGCTTTGTTCTAAGTGCTGCTATCGGTGTTTTGTGCCGTAGATGGAAGGGGAGAAGAGCAAGTTGAAGAAGGCCAAGAAGTAAGCCTGGTGGTACCCACGGTCGTGGCGCATTGCATCCGTCGCGCTGTGGTCGGTAGACGTTTGCACAAATGGCAGCTGCTTCGCAGTGATTGATCACCGCATCTGAGCGAGGGACTAAGGGGAAGCGAGCAGTTTAGGCAGAAAAGTCAGCAAGCAGGTTTGGATAAAATAGAAATGAATGTCCTGTATATGCTTGTGAATAACGATTGTGGCGGACAACATGACAGCAGATCAAACACGTGCATCCTTCGCGGATGTAAAGCACTTCAGCATCATGCGCCCGATTCGTTGTTAGCAGCCCAGACGGAAGATATCTATGCGGCCTGAACCGAAGACGATTGAATACGAGCAGATTGGATACGCGGCAGTCAGCATAATTCTTCGGAGCCGTTTGTAACGCACATCCAAGGAAGCCACAGTAAAAGCTGCAGCGGATCGTGCGGGAAACACTGGTCAACTCGAATGATAGCATAGATTCCACGAAGCCATTTCAAATCGTAGACGGTTCCGTTCGGCTTGATGATAAACAACCTTTCGACAGGAAAGCGTGTTGGCGGCGAGATGAACAACAACTACCCACAATACACGTAAGACATGCTCTAGATTAGTTGACTCGTAAAGCACTGCTGATGTACAAAGCGAGAAAGCGTAATGCGACCAGTTTCCTAGCGAACCCAGCAAAGATATTGGCTTACATTGGCTTCGTGCGTGACAATGTTTTGACGTGATAACTACAGCAACGTGCGAGCGGCAGCACAAGTGTGGAGCGGCAATGTGACGTGACATCGAGTCCCATCATGCGATTGCTGATCCCAAGCAATAGCAGAAACCCATCATGTGTTTCGATCAAGGTTTCAGGCGGAGTAGCTGTTCTATCGACCGATGTCACACATCAGTCAGTGGCAGCCACCTGCCATGTGCCAGCGCAAGCTTTTTCCATCAGGCGTCAGCAGTCGCAATACTCTGGTATATCATCACATTATGTTGTCGACCCAAGTTTGAGCTGCATTCGGCTATTGTACGACAAAATTCTGGAGACGAAAATGCGCACACACGCATATCTTTATTGTGAAGGAAAGCTTTTGCTCATCGGTTACCACATACTTTATCGCACTGTCACCAGCCGCATTGTTGTCTCTTCAATCAGCTGAGACCACGTTCAGCACGTCACTGTAATCAAGTGAGAGCTTGCATGCACCAACGGCGGCCACTGTTCGCGATGCTGTCCCACAACCCCATCGCAATGCATCACCCACGTCTCCACCATTCGTCTTCCACGCTGAAAGAAATCCAGCGTTAAATGAGTCACCTGCTCCCGTAACGTCCACGACATTCACGGGGAAGCTTTGCTGCGTCCATTGCCGCTGAGCTTTCGAGCAGTGCGCAATGGCACCGCTTGCACCAGTTTTGATGACCGTCACTCCTTCTATCCGATCTGCAAAGTACGCAATTGCTGCTTCCACCGATTCAGTACGCGAGATCTTCATCGCCTCCACTTCGTTTGGCAAGAATACATCAATCAGCGGAAACAGCACTTCGAGATCATCCCACTTCTCGGACGAGTCGTAGTTTGTATCCAGCGATGTGGTTATGCCCTTTTCTTTTGCCTTGACTAGCAAAGGCTTTAGATTTGCTCGAAGACTGGCACAGCTGTAAAATCCTACAACCATCAACAAGTATCTAGATTAGTAGCTGTTACTTTTGGAGCACCAGCTGTTCGTAAATACCCCCGATGTGCAGATGGTCCGCTGACAGCACCATTGTCTCATCAATATGCTACATGCATAACAGATCATCACTCTCTAGCTCATGTAGTAGCAAAAATGAAGTTATAGTTCAGCACTCACCTCAATACTGAAGATACGGGCAGCTCCGTAGTGCGTAATGAAACTACGATCGTCCTGCAGATGATCAGTCAGCAATCAGCACGAATCACCTTCCCATCTTGCCACATCAATCACCACGAACCGCTCCGCTGAGAACAATACACACGCCCGTGGGGACATTCTCCAGTGCAGGAGAGCTCAGCACCACCTTGTGCTCTGCTAAGTGCGATTTTAGCATGTCTGCAAACGGGTCTTCACCTGCACAAAACCCAATTTTACCACAAAATGTGTGTGCACACACAATTCAGGTCACACCACACGTTGCAAACCCTACTCACGCTATTAAAACACGCTATTATAACGTACCTACCGCCGTGTGCAGTGCCACGTGCAGCTCGTGGTTAGGGTTACACCTGCTGAGGTCGGCCAAGTACGTGGCTGCATTGAGCGCCGAACCTCCTGCGTGTAGTTGAATGGGCCGAGAGCACTCAACGTCACTGCCCCACTGAGGCAGTTGGTCGGGCGCTAGTGTACCCGCTACCACATCTACAAATGCGTCCCCTAAAACCGCAAACTTGATCTTCATCGGATCTAAAATCAGCTTTAATGAAGAAGGGCGCTTTAACATACCACCAGGTGGTGTTCAAAAGGACAATTCTACTTTACTAAAAAGGGTTATAAAAATTCAAACTAGAGTAAAATTCAAACAGTATCACCAAATAAATAAATAATAAATAAAGAGAGCCGTTGACCACCCACTAATTTTATGCCACCCACCCACCACAATTCTTCATCCAAATCGATAGAATTTAGAGTCGTCTGATGCCCAGATTAATTATGCCGCCACTTGTAAAAATAACATCTGATCTCATTTTTAAACGACTAAACATTAGATGTGAGTATCTCGACACTTGTTTGAGGAAACACTTGTGGGTGACTTCGATACATCTACGTTTTCATTGCACCCCTTGCTATGCTATCGGCTTACGATTTCAAGCATTACTTTACTTCACTATCTACGCTTCTACAGAAGATGCTCAATGGGTAATCATTTTACACGCGTCCATATGAGTCGAAGACGCACTTGAAGGTTTGTGCATTTACATGCCTTAATAAAATATTACTTTAACAGATTCCTTTACGCCATATTGAACAGCTTCTGAAGAGGCAGCTGGTGCTGCAGCCAGTCTTTATATGCTTGCTTCGCCGTACTGATGTTTTGACTTAAACGGCAGGTAGCACGTATCACCTCGAGAGCAGTGTACAGCCCTGTTTTGGTTGTCTCATCTGTTTTGATCTCACCTTGTTGGCACGCTCGCTTGGCAAAACATAGGTTTTATCTGCGCGTATCTGCTATCCGCCTGGTTAGCTTGTCTAGCGTGTCGTAGGCTTCAAGAAGTAGTAATTGAGTCATTTAGAAACGACGGAATCTGGCTTACGGATTCTAAAATATACGGTGACGCCATCGATAAAGGAAAACGAGTCGCGTGCAATCAATCTTTGCGATGACATCAGCAGTCAATTCGGAGGAATATACGGAATGTGGAGCTATGGCGAGAACCCACTTGATCAGGGGGTCGCCAAAAGTCACTTTTAAAATACTAGCTTTTTATTCCACGATAGACTTTGTGTGTCTTAAATGATGATGTTTGGAACGCTATACCTAAAAGTATGACGCCATTCGAATAAAATAAGGAACCCAGCGTTTTAGCATGTGCCATGGTAATAAATATGCTTGGATTCAAACACGTCCATATTCCGGCCAATCAGAAGATAGCCATATTTATTTTAGAGAAGTCCCACAGCATTTCCTCAATGGCATTATTCATTCATTCCTACAAAAGCCACAGCAACGATGGACCACCAAGCCGTTGCTCGGTTTACAAGAATGCGCCGCCGCTGTCTCGGTCGCAGAGTTTCCACTGCTGCGTCTCCCACCGCTCACAACTTCAGCTTCAGTGGCTGTGGGTTCCTGATTCCGTACCACTTGGGCGTAGCACAGGAACTGCAGGATGCCGGCTATATCCAGTCCCGCTCGAGGTTTGCTGGAGCTTCTGGGAGGTGCAATTGCTGCTTTGGCGTTGGCTGCCAACGTCAGTATGGACGACATCCACGAAGAGACAAAAGCCATGGCCCGACTCTGTCGTAGCCACGGCACTTTCTGGAAACTTGAGGACCGACTTCGCACCGTCTTTCACGCCAAATTTGGTGATTTACCGGTGGAGTCGTTGACGCACAGTCGCCTGACGATCGCTACAAAGAAAATGTGGCCAGTCCGAGCCTCGGTGCTGACCGATGACTTCCGCTCGACGGATGATCTTTGTGATGCGCTCATAGCGTCATGCTACTTGCCTTGGTACGTGGCCCGACGAGGCACTACGCTGTTCCGAGGCGAGTACCACGTGGATGGAGGTCTTATCACGTTAGTGCCGGAAGTGCAGAACTACACGAAGGTGTGTGTGTTTCCTGGAACTATTATGCGCCGCAAAGACTATGACATTAGTCCGTCGATCGATCCAGATTTTCCCTTTTCGTTCTTGCAGTTGCTGCGCTTTGCTTTGTTTCCACCGGAAACTGATGTGCTGGATCAATTGTTTGATTTGGGGAAGACATCGGCGAGGATTTGGGCAGAGAAGCAAACAGCGCAAGTGGAAGGATGTACTGATGTAACATAACGGGACAGCAGTAGATGGTGATCGAACTCGATGGCAGCAGACTGGCAGGAAGGGGTGGAGGTCATTGGGCCATGGTGCACAGATATGCAGTTGCTCTGGAGCGTGCGCCCGCAGTACTTTCGAGGCTGTGAACTGATTGCGACCCAAGGAGCGAGGGTGCAACGGTCAATACATAGGTAGACGGCGGCACGAAGTAAGAAGGAGTTCGGGTAGAACTAATTGCCTTCGATGCACCTCTTGGAGAAAAGAGAACGAAGAGCTTGATGGTAGCAGGTGAACCAAGTCAACACTTAAACCAAGTTAAATGACCCCAACATAGTGCTCTCTCGGTTCCTACACGCCTCCTGTGTCATCATCAGACGAGCTGCTTACATTCAAAGGAGACGACGCCGCGGACGAAGATGAAGACAACGCGGAAGATGACGATGAAGAGGTAGACGACGACGTCGAAGTCGACGACGAGGAGCTTTCGTTGCCACGGTCTACGTCTGCTTCCAATCGATCTTTCCCACCTTCAGGTTGCGCCCCGACTTCTTTGGTGTGGCCACGAGCAACCGTTTGTTTTGACCTGACCCGCTTTCGCTTGGCCTTGGCTAACTTTGTTTTCAGGACCCCAGCATCGGTGGTCGCCGGCGCTGCATCAACTGCTTTAGCTTTGACACGGCTACTGGATGCTGTCGTTTTCTCCGTAGTGGCCACGCCAATAGCATTCGCGTCCCCCTTCTTTTCCGTCGAATTTGCAGACAAAAGCTCGCTTTTTCCACGTACGTTGCCACCTTTTGATGCATCCGGAGGACCTGATATGGCGAGCGGTACCGATGCCGTTGGTGTCGTGGGTTTCCTTCGACTCCGCTTTCGTGGCGGCTTGCTCACGGATCTCGAATTACTAACAGGAACAATTTGTTGCCTCTCTGGAGCTACTACAGCAGCTTCGAATGTCTCGGTCTTCGTAGCAGGTAGTTGCGATGCTTCCGCCAGTCTGTCGCCGAAGCTAGGAATTGTCACGTACTCAGTTTGCATCGCATAAATACAAAGTTGGTAGCCCGACTCACCTTTTGCCACGTCTCTTCTCCTCGTCTTCTTTCTGCTTCAACGCTGCAGCACTTCGCACTTGAGCCCACTTCTCTCGTTCCAATGCAGTGGACCGACTGTCTAACACATTCAGCTGACTCGGATTAATCTGAAACAAACGAGAAACATGAGTCGCCTTGCTATTTGATTTCCCCGCACACGTCAGCCAGTCAACGCACCAACAGATTGTTGCAATAAATGAGGTTCTCAGGGTTCTTCCCTAGTGCGTGTTGCTCCGTAAACAGCGTCGCTAGCTTGACGAGATGCGCCGGATACGGGTACTCAGCATTGTCCAGATGTGTCTCCATCAAACAATCCATGTACCCATTCCGCCGGTCTTCCTCCTCTTCGGCGAATAAGATGGCCTCCACGTCGTCTTCAAACACGTCGGACCCATCCGAACACGCGTCCACATCCTCGTCTTCTTCCCCCTCTTGCACTTCATGATCATCCTGTACACTTTCGGTCACCAGCGTGCCATCCCGTCGCTGCTTCATAGGAAACGACGGACGTCGAGTCGTTGCCAACGGCGTCTCCGGACTCTCCAACGATTCGGACGTCGCTTCGCGCTTCAGCTTCCTCTCATCTGCCACGATGTTCGTTACAGGGTATTAATAAGAGCCTACCTTTCATTTTGAACCGACAGAACGAGGAGGAGGTAGAGGACCTGGTGGAGGTGGAGGTGGTGGTGGTGCCGTGTCTGGTGGAGGAGAGTCTGGCGGAGGAGGGGGCAGCGGAGGCATCGGAGAATACTGCTGAAAGCTGACGTGACTAAGCTGCTCGTTATCACTAGAGTGGGGCGCGTTAAGGCTTGAGGTAGCAGTGCTGCGACTCGAGAGGGGAGGCGCGGGCGGCGTCTCCATGGCGGAGGCGAGAGCTCAATCCGAAATGGTCTACCCCTTTCGGGAAAAGGCCGGGGATGTTATTGACAATAGCGTGGACCACACGAATGACCATGGGAACCTACGGCATTCCTTCCACTCCTGTACGTGTACTACACCCAGCCACTCTCATCGGGTTCGACCAGACCCAGGACGTGGTGGTTCTGACGTGCCCACATTTCAGCATACCGGCCTTCCACATCACGCAGCAACTCTTCGTGCGGACCTTGCTGGACCACGCGTCCTTTGTCAAACACAATGATCTCGTCCACGTCTTGGATCGTCGACAGCCGATGAGCAATGATCAGCGACGTGCGGTTTGTTCCTATCGATGCAAACTCACGGACAATCTCCGACTCGGTCTCGGAGTCCAGCGCGCTAGTCGCTTCATCAAACAGTAAAATCGGGGCGTCCTTCAGCATTGCGCGTGCGATCGATACCCGCTGCTTCTCGCCTCCAGAAAGCTTCAGTCCACGCTCACCCACGCGCGTATTGTATCCCTCCGGGAACGTCTCGATCGAGCGGTGGATCTGAGAAACACGGGCAGCTTGCATCACCTCCTCGCGAGTCGCATCCAGGCGACCATAGTTGATGTTGTAAAAGATCGTGTCGTTGAACAACACCGTGTCTTGCGGGACGATGGCGATCGCCTGGCGGAGCTCGTCGAGGTTTAACTGGCGAATGTCTTTCCCATCGATAAGAATCGTACCATTTTGAGGGTCGTAAAAGCGATACAGCAACCGGAGGACCGTAGACTTGCCCGATCCACTCGTGCCGACGATGGCGACGCGTTTGCCAGCATCGACTTTAAACGATGTATTCCGTAAAATTGGAAGCTCCGCGCGGTATCCAAAGTTCACATCGCGAAACTCAATCGATTTAGGCTCTTTGCCAATCAAGCTCAGATTCACGTCCGAGTTCGTAATGACCGGTGTTTCTGCACCCAATCTGAACATGGACTCCATGTCCGTGACCGATTGCCGCACTTCACGGTAAATGCTGCCAATGAAATTCAGAGGGATGGACAGCTGGAACAATAACCCATTTACAAGCACCAAATCACCGACAGTGAGCGTGCCAGCAGCAATTCCTTCACACGCCATGTACATAATGGCAGTGAGGCCGACGCCGAAGATCCCGTTCTGTCCAGCGTTTAGCATCGCCAACGAAGTCTGGGTCTTGAGTGCCGCTTTCTGATACCCCTTCAGCGAGTCATCGTAGCGCTCGATCTCGTGCGCTTCGTTGTTGAAATACTTGACCGTCTCGTAATTCATCAACGAATCAATGACTTTCGCACCAGCTTCGTTCTCTAGACGATTCATCTCACGACGGATCTCATCACGCCACTGCGTGACTAGCACTGTATACGTTGTGTACGCAGTAAGTGTACCCAGCGTCACCCCCGCATACGGCATCCCAAAACTTGTAGCCATGATGACGCTCACTAGTCCGATTTCCAGCACCGTTGGCACCACACGGAACGCCATGGCACGCAGCACAAAATCAATTGATCGTGATCCACGGTCAATAATGCGGGATAGCGCACCCGTTTGGCGATCCAAGTGAAACTTAAGATCCATGTTGTGCAAGTGGTTGAATACTCGCACAGCAACCGTCCGAATGGTCTTCTGAGCCACTGTCGCGAACACGGCATTAGCCAGTTCAGAGGACGCACTGGCACTGAATTTGGCGACCCCGTAGCCGAGGACCATGGCCAGCGGCACCGCCACCTCGGGGGATCCAGCAAGAGCAGTAGAGAGAGTTCCCATGCCATCCACCAATTGTTTGAAGATGAAAGGCACTTGGATCGTTAAGGCTTTGGACGCCACCACAAGACCGGCTGAGATGAGCACCTTTTGCTTGATCTCCTTGGCTTCCTTGGAGTCGTCTTTGGGCCACAAATGATCCATCAGAAAGCTAAGGATCTCCTTCGCCGTATCAGGAGGTCGAATCAGTCCTGTACCACTTGACAGACCAAGCGGTGCAAGTTTCGATGACGTCTTTGTCTTGTCCTGTTGCTCGTCCAGCGCCGACGATGAAAAGCTCACTGCACTGTACCTCGGTACTGGGAGCACAACCGACGCAGTGCGATTGTAGCCAAGAAACGAGGGCTGGAGCGAGAATGTGGAGCGCGAGTAAAACCCGCCCGCGAGTCGCCGCCCACTACGCAGATGAAGTCGGCGTCCGCGGAGCAGCATTGAAAAGCGAAAGTGGCTCAGTTCGTGCCTGATTTGGTCTCAGTCACTTGTGGCGATTAAAACTTGGCATACATGAGATGCCAGCCACCTGTGTTGAGAACCGTACTTAGTCTCTTGAGTCTGATCGATCACTTATCTGAGGTTTTGTTGAGCTGTCACTACAGCGAGGACATATTTGGCCAGCATCAGCAGAATTTAGTTGTGATGCACAGTTTCCGACACGGGAGAGAGCAAGTCGAGCCATAGAAAGGGCATGTGCTCCGACGACCGATCTTTTCAGCAAGACTATAAGCTGCCGATAGAGCAGATTCAGCAACAAAACTGAAAAGCAGATCAGAACATTCGGAAGAGATGTGTGGTCGAATAGTGACTGTAACGGGGTGAACCGTTACATGACAATTTACATGACATTGTTAATAGAATATAACTATAAAGAGTTAGATTCTCGGAATATTGTCATAAGGACAAATTTTCTGTAGCACTTACGAGTAGTTCTTAATTGGTTGATATAGGCCATTATATCAACTAACGAAGACGCGCCACGACAGACGCACGCAATGAGTGGTGAGCAGATAACTGATTTACACATTTGTATTTAGACATAGTTAGATGAGGATAAACAGTGGTTTATTAACAGACATTAACTATGATAAATACAGTTCTACTTTTTACTTTAACCAAGTACTCGCTTCTCCTTACCGTCTTACTCTGCACGTACCAGTGTACGTGAAGTTAAGAGGCACCGCCTTATTCTGTCGTCAGAATAAGTAGCTTGTACTGTCATCTATACAAGCTTCAGGGTGCCCCGTTACAGTACCCCGATTCCGTGTTCTGTATGTTCTTGCTCACATTGTGTACCCGTCGGTGGGGCGGGTTGCGCTCTTCTTGGTGGACTTGAGCTGAAGCTGAACTTGGCGGTCTTAGAAATAGGTCTTGCTCGGTTGGAAATACTTCACCCGGTTAACGTAGGTGCGGATCGTGTGGAAATTCTTCACTTGATCGCTTGTAACTTGGGCGCTCTCCCAGAGTCGCCTTTTCCAGGGGTGATGCTTGATACGCGAGCCTTCTGACCACTTGAGCCGTCTCGCGATCTTGAATCTGAACCGTTAGCTCACTGCGTCCTATCGCAGTTGAGGGGGGGTGAGAATTGACCTTCCGCCTGGCCAAACAATCCAAGGGCGAAGTTCACTTATGACGTGGGTGACTCTCTATTCAACGGGAGGCCAAAGATCCTGCCCGGGAGAAGTCGACGCGCGTCTTTCGTAGCAAACTCAATTCTGTTTAATATCAACCAACCAAGCCTAAAACTTATGACTATGCCTATCTGTTCGCTAGGTCGGCTGTCGATGTCATTCACCTCTTACATCCTGTGATCCACAGCAGATAATTCATAGTAGATTGCCCCATACTGGATCGCGGAGTACCGGATCGCGGACCACCAGATCGCGGTATGCGATCCACGGCAGGTAAGTAATCTATCTCGATCATCATGACACACTCCGCTTGACCTTTACCCCTTCGTGACCGTTAAGTGGGTTACTCTGCATAATTACCGCAGTCAATTCCTGTCACTCAGCCGCGTGACACCATCATCCGTGCCTAAGGGCCCATCTCCGTACGCGCTACACCAATCAAACTGGTTTTCGTACTTAAGGCGGATTGCGCGATCCACACTTCCGTCAGTCTTCCTTTGCTTCTCCACATAAGACATACTAACCATAGGTTGCCACCAATCGCTGCTAGACGCGCGCAATGAGTGGTGAGCAGGTTGTCGTCATACGACAACGTAGTTCAATATAGTTAGATAAAGATTAAAGCTATATTGATAGCTTAACTCTAGTAAATACAGTTCTCTCTTTACCTTTACTTGACCGAGTCGTTGAGTAGATTAGCTTTCTCTGCACGTACTAGTGTACGTGAAGTTTCGTGGTTCCCAGACAAAGGTTACCCCGTTACAACCGGCCAATTCAAAACCGGCGTTGCTAATCTGTCTTAGGACCTTGCAAAAGTCTTGTTCACATAGGTACCGTGTAACAGACTGTCTGTTTCTCTCTCGCAATATATTGAGATGTAGGTTGGTGGGTCAAGGGGATCTTTTTTTAATTGTTAAGCTAGAATCCGGGTCCGACTGTAACGCGGTGCCTTCATTGCATGACAATTTACGCAAGGTGATGAGCAAGTATGAAAATGATGTTAGGACAAACACAATATTCTCACAGTGTTATCAGAATAGATAGTATTGCCTCGCAGATATGACGCACTGCCCATTAATCGATAAAGGATCGAGATATCAACCAATAAAGTCTAGCTACGACAGAAGCACGCAATGAGTGGTGCGCAGACAGTTACAATACATGTTTGAATACGGGACTAGTTGAATGAAGTCGAAAAGGGATTTTCAAAAAGATAAACTATGCTAAAACAGCTCGCCCTTTTATCGTTACTGAGTACTCTTACTCCGTATAGCAATATTACTCTGCACGTACGTACACGTGAGGTAGTCGGACGCACACACCCTTGTACTGTCAAGAGTGCTAGTTTTATTCACTTAACTGAATAAGATGTGCCCTGTTACACCGATCGTACAACTTCTTAATCATCGTACACCTCGCTTTCGTAAAGAGATATTCTTAGAGAGAGTACAGTTCCTATTCAAGCTTATATTCTTCGGTATACGTGGTACCTTTCTCGAATCTAGTACAACTGTAGTATCTCTCATTACGGCGTGGGACTCGTCTAAATTACGCAATTTTGAGCCCGAGGGGTGAAGCTATTAGTGGCTGTGCGCAAGGTGAATGCTGAACTTTTTAAATCATACTGATCTGCCTGTGTGTCAGTCTATCTGTAGATAAAGCGACTAGGTGTGCCTTACACGTACTAAGTGCGATCTAACCTGCCCTCTAAAAACATATTAAAGTCAGTCTCTGGATAGGTCACTATTGTGCTGCACGCACGTGATTGGCTTCAAATCGATGAAAGGCGATATTATCATGCACTGGAGTGGGATTCACAAAATTGCTGATGCGATCTCGATACTTCACTGGCGCCTAGATGACCAACTAACGGATGAAATATTCCGGTTCCACGGAGACTTATTCCTTCCTCACCTTAGGCAACCATATGTATAGTGATTTGAACTCTTCTCGGTGGACCTCAGTCGAGGAAAAACTTAATCGTGTTTTGGGGATGGGTTGGTATGATCGTGCGGAGGTCTTCACGCGATTACGGATATACTGAAAGGTTGCTTGATGTAAGCCACTTAGATCTCAACGAGACCGCCTTGTTCAATATTTAGATGATTGAAACGCTTAACCTTCTACCCAATTACGCCGTCTCGCGATCTTGCGCCTAGTCCTTCACATTCTTGCTACGTCCAATCGATGGGAATGTCTTGAAAATTCTTGATCCCAGCCAATTATCTGGAGGTATCACTTGTTTTCAGTATGTGAGACTTGAGTGACGTCGGGAGGCCAAACGTCCAGCTCGGAAGAGAAGTCGACACGTGTACTTAGCAGCAAAAGAGTTCTGTTTAATGTTAACCAACCAAAACCTAAACCACCATTGTACCTGTCTGTACACCAGTATATGGTGCCACGTGTCTTCAAAATTCCGTTGTAAGTTCCTTTGCGTATTTGGTCCAATTCTAATTGATTGTCGATCACCATGATCGTCGATCACCTTGATTGATTGTCGATAATCTTAATTGACCGTCAATCACCTTTCCGGCTGTCGATCACTCGATCTCCGATCATATTCTCAATCTCGTTGACCATATGTATTCTCGATCCTGATATCTTGATAATCGATCTTTGTATCGATCTCAATACTGTGCAGCTTAACAACTAATCGATCCTTCTCGACGATCAGTCGTCGTTTTTGATCAAACTACCCATCGTCACTCTAATTGTTTCAAATCGCTTCACCACAGTCGTCCCCTGCGCTAACAACTGGTGTATAATAATGGTGTATCAGTGCACTTCGTCAAACTTGGTCTCCACTTCTGCTGCTCATCGTTCACCTGTATCCCACATATGGAGGGATCCGATAATCTGTCGATGACCCGCCGGTCCCATCCGACGTACCAAGTTACTCATATCTAGCCGTAGCTACACTTCAAACTTCTTTATCGATTTTCAATAGTCAGTGAAGCGACGCGACCTTTCACACCGCTGATGATTTTACACAGATGCTCGCTAGTAGAACGCAGCAACATCACAGACGATTTACGCATTGAAGAAGCCATCTAGTGTTGCTGCCGTCTCTTCAAAATGAAACTGAGCACCTCTAGTCCCGCAAGGTAGTTTGATTAATGTACCTAAACTTGCGCTGTACAAGAGCTAATTTCATAAGCGACATCCGATGCAGAGTTACTAAGCTCAAACTCGTCACCCAGCGAATTACCCATCACTTCGAGAGCATCCGGGATATCTAGCTCTTGATGCCTGAGGATCTCGCCAAAAATTTCATTACCGACCATCAATGAGGTGCTATAACATCCTTCATCGCTCTGTGGGTGTTTACGTGACACTACACATGCACCGGGTTGGATATTCTATTGCTGACAAAGCGTTTAATCAAAAAATTTCATTACCGACATTCAGTGAGGTGCTGTTACAGTCGCCCTCAATCTTTGGATGTTTTGTTCCACTCCACATACAGTTATAAGATCACAGCCTGAATGACTTGACATAAAGTTATCAGTTCTATCAGCGTACAGTGGTTGTTTTATCATTGAGTGCCGATTAACAAAGTAAAAGCCGTCCCACAATTGTCAGTGGCATCAGAGTCAAGCAACTTAGATATTCCGATATCCAGCACATATAACGACTCATGAAGTGAATCACGCCAACAGCGCTTTTTAGTAAATTTGGTTTTATGACTACCTGAAGCTTCTCTGGAAACATTGTGCGTCGCGCCTAACGTCTTCGACCTCCATTTTATACACGGCTCGTGGCGTTCCAGCCAGATCATATCTAGAATTAGATCACATCCTAAGTCCA